GCGTACTTCCTGTAGCTACTCCCCTTCTGTCAGTGTGGTCGCCTTGGGGCTAACTAGTTTAGCGGTGTAGAGGGGATGTAAAAGGTCCGTAGTGAGAGGCGCATCGGAACGCTGTTTAGCTGTTTTGATGAAACGTGTTTTGGGTATGGGGGGTCTGATCGTTGGCGCACTACCCGTCTTTGTGGAATATGGGGGCCTGAAACTTTTAGTTAGTTTCTTCGGTCGGGAGAATGAGCTGTTCAACTGTACCTGATGGGCGCTATTTAAATGCCTCGGAGTCATGCTAGCATCACATAGTCCTTTTCTTTTTACCGAGGTGCGGCAGGGCGCGGCGATGCTGTGGGTGGCGGTAGCATGGCCAGGCGAGACCTCTCTCGGTGGCGGGGAGCGGCTGGAGGCGGTGGAAGAGGCGCGTGGCTCGGCTTCGTGGTGGATGTGGTGGCTTAGGGGTGGATCGGAAGGGTAGAGCGGCGGCCGGTGTGCGGTGCGGAGCGGCGGAGCCGATGGTGGTGGTGATGGCGCGGCACGGCAGCCGGAGCTCACCGGTGAGCGGTGGAGGTCGGGAGCGGCGTGGGGAGCACGGGAGAGGACGCGGGAGCTCGGGCAACTTGGAAAAATGAGAGAGGGAGGTGCGGGAAGCGTTTTTATAGGCTCGGGAGACCAGAATCGTGGTCGAGAGGGGCGGCAACCGGTGGTGGAGTGGGGAAACAACGTGGGCGGAGTGGCGGCGGCTCGGCGCCGATTTTTGCGGGGAGGAGTGGGGGAAGTGGTGGAGGACGAGGAGGGGACCGGGCCACGATCTTTGGGTGCGGGCACGTGTGCGGGAGGGCGCCGGATTCGGCGGGACGTGGGAAGGGGGGAGGTGGTTGCCAGCGGGCTAGAGGTAGGGGAAGGACATGAGGGAGAGAGAGGGGGCCGGGAGAGGGATGCCAGATAGACTTTTGCAAGGGGCGGGCCGAGGGAGAGAGGCAAGGAGGCCGCCCTAGATGGAGAGAGGAGGGGAAGGAGGTGCGCGGGCCGTGAGGGGGGAAAGAGACTTGGGCCCAAAGCGGCCCAAGGACAAGGAATGAGAATTTTAATTGATTTTCTTTTTATTTAATTAATTAAATGAACTTTGTGCTATTAAAATTACTTTCTTGAGCTCCGAAAATTCACGGGAAATTGTAGAGAGGACTTTAGGGCACAAAGAATATTACAAAAATATTTTCCGACCAAGATCTTTAAATGAAATTTTTAATTCACTTATTAATCCACTTGATTAATTGCTTTAACTTTTAACATAAATTCTAGAAATGCATTATTAAATGATTTTTCATTCCGAACGAAATCGGGGCGTGACACTCTACCAGTGCATAATGGTAAATAACACACAAAGAAAACCCCAATAATTAAGGAAAGTCATAAAAGTCACTTTGAATAAGATAAATAGTCAAGCATATATTAAAAAAGTCAATGACTACAGCTATAAAAAACAGAGGGAGTAGATACATTTGAAAGATTTTCTAGGAAATTTTCTATCGAATGTTACATAGATAGTCCCATGTAATATTGCAATTTGATTTTTGTGGCGAATTTCTCCGTAGCATTTTAGTGTAGTGGTTAATCCGGGGCTTCCATAACAAAATCCAATGATACCAACAACACGACACAAAGAACTTAAGAAGATAGTACAAATATATGTGTTATGCATATATGCAATTCAATTCTTTTATTTTTAAAAAGGAAACACGGTCAAAATAAAAGCGCTCACATGCACGTTACCCTTATGAGCATCTCCAAGAAACCAAGTCGACATATTTTGAGATCAACGAAGTTATCATATGCGCCTTATCGTCGATGGGCGCGTCGCCTATCAAAGGCACACATGCACGTTACCTTATGAGCATCTCCGAAAAACCGAGTCGACATATTTTGAGATCGGCGAAGTTATCATGTGCGCCTTACCGTCGACGGACGCGTCGTCTATAACCGAAAGAAATAATTAGCCGTAAATACGATCACCCATCCGTGTCCATTCTAATCGCCTTGATTGCAAGAGGCAAACGAGTGGGCCGGGCCGGGCCTAGCAGCCAGTGAGGTTTCTCTCTAGCTAGGGTTTATGCCAGTACTAGTGTTTGTTTGTGGCGATCAGGCTCTACTTTTTCTCGTCGTTGTCTTCCTTCTCCCCGGCCTCCATCGCCGCCGCGCGCTTCTCTCCCACCGCCGCCACCGCCGCCGGTTCTTCCTTGCTGGTCTCCTCTCCCCCGGCGCGCTCCGTGACCCCCTGCCCTTGGCTGGTTGGCCCGGTGCCCCTGTTGGTCGCACTGCAGCGCCCGCTCACCGCGCGCGGCGCGCCCCCACCGCCCTTGGCAAGCTACCTCGCCGAATAGTTCTGATTCGATTCAGTCGATTGCCAGAGGTAAGCCATTCAATCCTCGCTTTCCAATTTGTTGAATGTGAAGATTGAATCGCACATTTGTTAGATCGTTGCCTGTTGAACTGCTTAAGTGGTCCAATATAAGAGAAAATTTGAACCCACTTTGTTGTCTAATTTTTGTAGACTGGACAAGTATACACCAAATTTTAACTCGAGAGAGATGTACTTTGTTTATTGTAGTGAATGGCTGCCTAATTTTGTGCATTAACCATGGTGTAATGCAATGGTGTGATGTTGATGGATTCGTGGATATATACTTAATCTCTAGATTGTAGTGCATATATTTTTCACAAAGTATCACAATAATAACTCAATAAGTAGCACTGAAATACCATATCGTTGATTATTATTTTTAATCTGAAACATGAAGAGGAAAAATGATCCCGCTATTTTTAGAAAAAAAAAAGGCACTTAAATACCATGTTGTAAGATTTTTTTTTTATCATATTTGATATGTTGAACGATTGTCAATCAGTAGTTTAGTACTTCCATATGTTAAACACATTAAATTTATGGCCAATTCTGCTTATATCAGTTATACATTATATAACTATTAGTTAGAACTATATGAAATTATAGATATCAAATGTTAGGCTTTGGGTTGAATTTTGTTTTACCTCTTCCTATTTCGAATACCCAACCTTAAAATCCTAGGCCCGCTATCGTCTATTGGGCGTGGCACGGATTTGGGGATCCATTGGGCACGAATTTGGGGATCCATTGGGACCTGCATTGGTTTCATGGCCCTCTCCGATTAGACCCTCCGATTGGGCCTCCAATTATCTCGTTTCTGCGATGAACTGTGCGATCTGCAGGGGAAGTTCATTCAATAATCAATAGAGATCATCATATCGTGTAATGTAATGTAAAGCTAAGCGAGTTTTTTTTTCCGCAGGATTTGTGCTTCTTTTCTTGTATGATGGATAGCAAGGGCAAAGTGAAGAAGGAAACGGATGGCCTCCCTCCTCGCAAGGTTGTTAAAAATCCTCCCTTATATTTCCTGATTGGTGTGGCCTAATTGGTTCTTACCGTAATCTTTAATATATTTTTTTTCCTTTTGTGCTACGCAAGGGAGGGCTTAAATTTGCACCCAAGGTTCGTCCTAAGAAAGCTCCAAAGATCGTCCCGAAAACGTATGTGATTCGCTCCATATTTTCTTCCATAATGCTCTGATATGTTTCATGGGAGATTATCTATTACAATAGGTTATGTGCTGTCGAATGAGAGAGAGAGTTTGTGTAATTCAACAGGGAGCCGGCTGAGGAAAGCAAGGATGAAACCGTAGATAAAGAGCTGTTGATGAAGCTTAAGACATCGCAGGTGTTTATTTCTCATCTTTTTTGTCATTTAATACTGTACATAAAAAGTTTCTTGTTAATTAAGTCTTGTTTGGTGTTTGTGAAATCTTGAATTACTTTGCCGATTTGCAGAGCACAGATCCCTTTGTGAGAAAATTTAAGACTGAGAAAAAGGGTAAGACTAGTTAATTGCTGTTCCTTTCCGTCCTTTCCAATTTATTCATGATCATCTGGTAAATGTGTAATCTTGTATTATTCGAGCATGACCAGTGTCTATTTCCCCCTGTTGTTATCGGTTTATCAGTTAACTTGTCTTGCCAAATATGCATGTCCTCAGAGGTTTTAAATTTTCAACCTGCAACTGCAATCTATGTAGTTAAGAATAGTGAAGGCTGTGAATTGAGCATGCATGACTGATTTTTCATTGCTCAATGGATTTTTCCTGATTCAGCTGGCCACATGAGTGTTTTTACTTGTATGACCAATCTTAATCTACTAGGCAATGCATATCCTTTTTTTTTTCAAAAAGAAAAGAAAAGAACTTGTACACCGACCCTTGAACTATATCTGCTGCACAATTGCAAGTGGTTTCTTAGTTGGTCAAGTACAAGTGTGTGGTTCGGTTGTATCAGAGGATGAAAATTTGTTGCAAGCAAAACACTGGTCTGTTAGAAGAGTATGATTTGATTTTCATCCTATTCTAAGCAGTATAATTGAATGCTTAATGCATTGGAATGCCCTGAGAAATGTTATGCGCAAAGGATGCATCAAAATAGCATTTCACTGATTCATTCCATGCCTAATCATTATTTTGTGTAGTAAAAGGTCCCATTAATGTACAGAGTATTTCTGATGATGTTGGCCTTCTCTCTTGATTTACATGCTTACTTGCTACTGATGTCGTGCTTTGTTGTCATCGTAGAAATGCGTACTCAAGTTGCATTTGGACAGGGGAACTCGTCGTATGCAAGATCATTTCCCATGCAAAGTTCAGCAGGTATTAAGATATTATGTGTGTCCAATGTTTTATCTTTAGCTGAACCATCCACTTGGTAGTCAAGTGTATATTGACTTTACTGTATATATCATCAAACTGGATAGTATTGCAAGCGTTGCTTGTCTTTTGTAAGGACACATAATCTTTATTACTTATTCAGCTGTATGGATTACTTTGTTTGGATATTGACAAGCTTTGTTTACATGCATATTCAGATGGATCAGCTTCAAAATTACCAAAAGAATATGTTGAACCATGGGTGAGTAAATAAAGATATCAAGTTCACTTATGTGGGATTCCTTCTTTCCACTCCTTATTTACTTGATTCCTCACAGGACTATACCCACAGTGACTATCCTGTTACTCTCCCACTGAGGAGACCGTATTCTGGAGATCCTGGTATCTTGTTGGTCCTTCCAGACTAGGTAGAATCATTTTCTTCAACCAAACCTTATGTCTCTTCTGTTCATAATCCAGAAATTCTTAATGAAGAGGAGTTTGGAGAGTCTTCTGCCACCGGAGCCCAAGATGGTGAATTAACCACAGCAGAAGAACTTGGACTAATGGTGTGTCCTGGTGTTTAAGTTCAATGTTTCATTTCTGGTAACTGGAGTGTAGCTTAAAAGCAAATAGAATTGTACTCTGTGTAGCATATGCATCCTAGCCTTTTAACTTTTAGACCTGTTAAAGTGGCGAAGGCAAGTCCGTTTTGCTGATTGATGTATTGACATTTGACAGCATCGGTCAGACAAAGCACAGTTGCTTTTCTTCCAGATGCCTGCATCTCTTCCATTACCAAAGCAGCCAGACTCAGTCGCAGAGACAGATAAAGGCGATGGGGTGGATGCTGAACCTACAAGCACAAGCTCTAAGGAGATGCATGCAGGAACAAGGCCACCAAAAGTCCTTGGCTCTAAGCTCAAAGACCTTCCAGAAGGTTTCATGGGGAAGATACTTGTATATAGGAGCGGTAAAGTGAAGATGAAGATCGGAGATTCACTCTTTGATGTGAGTATGAAAACTCTATGCCCCAGCATTCTATCTTTATGTTTTCCATGGCCCCATGCTATATCAAAACTGAAACAACCGTGCAGGTCTCTCCGGGTTCAAATTGCATGTTTGTCCAGGAGGTTGCGGCAATTAACGCCAGAGAAAAGCACTGCTGCACCTTGGGAGAGATCAGCAAGCGCGCGATTGTAACCCCGGACATCGAGCATCTGCTGGATTCTTTCGACAAGATGGAAGCGTAAGCCCATGCCTTATGTGCAAAAGTCATGGCCATATGAACCATTTCATGGGAATTTTGTTTGCTCCTCATCCATGAGTTTCCTTTACTTGCCCTTGGGCTTCTTTAGACCAAAAAAACGCCAGTTTTATCAAAATGGCAATTTTGAGTTTTCGTGGGAATATATCAAACGGTGGAGAATCAGTTAGCCAGCAAGTCACAAAATGTCAAAGTGAACTGCTGAGCGATTTTGTGTCCTCTTCTCATCTATAGCAGTCAAATTTTGTCATCGATACCTACATTGTTTGTCCTTGCAATGATTGGATCACAGAAAACATAACCCATGAAGCATGGTCCCCTTTTTTTTCCATCTTCACTACTGCTTTGACAACTGTTCATACTGAATGCATGAACTTTTCTTAGGTATATCAATGTGATGCGAACACTTTTTTTTTTCTGTGAGCTGTAAACTGCTGCATAATAGCTGGCGATTTTGGTGTATGTTTTTGTATAGTGCTATTCAGGGACAGGCCTGAAATTAGGCCAATTGGGCTTGAAACAGGCCCATTAGATATGCAGCACATGAACCTTTTCATTGTCTTTCTCTGGTCGTCAAATTGGAAAGGTATGCTCTCCTACAGATACAGCAGCAGCTAGCAAAATCATAATATCAGTGGGACCAAAGGAAAGGATCTGAGCAGTTTATTTATCCGTGACAATGAATTACAGTGTTGGAGCATCGCTGTCATGTCAAATATTTGTCATGCCGTCTTGCCAAAGTGGTCTTCCAAGTTTTATCCAAGGATTAGTTTAGTTCTTAATGTGCTAAAGTGGTCCTCCAAGTTTCACGCAAGGATTAGTTTAGTATTTAATGTTTCAATCTGTCCATATTAGTCTTTCAAGTTTTTATTTTAATTCAAACTTATCCTTAAACCCACACAACCAACAACTCTCTTAATAAACGACACTTATACCCCCTCATTCACATATATGAGAGAAAAAATTACATGCAATGAATTCCTTTTATAAATGATGCATAGCAATTTATGTTAAACAAAAATAAATTATGTACTTGCAAGTGTATACAATAGCCATTAGGCTTAAGTTTCATGTACACGTGTTGAAATAATGTGAAGTACATATGCAATATTGTTTATTCATTTTGATTTTCTTTTCTCTAGTGTATAGTTGTATACAAGTTAAGGGCAAAAGAGATATTTTCTAACAGAATTGTTGACTAGAAAATAGCCATATGACATATTAAGTAAACCTAAGGATGATTTTAAGCCAAAACAAATACTTAGAATGACCAAATTAAGCCTTCAGTGAAACTTGAGGGATTAAATTAGCTATTCACCCATACTAATTAATAAAAGGCAAGAGTTTGATTTTTGGACATTAAGTACACGGATGCTACAAAGAATAAAACTGTCATTTGTTTATCATGGCTTATATATAAAGTTGACTCCATTAGTCATTTCTACAAAATTAATATGCAATGTTGTGTGCAATGTACTATGCAGTTGCCACCCACTTGGCATATTTGTTGCTATCTCTCTCATCTCCAATTAAGTAAAGGATTGACCAACAGTAGTTTTGGGATTATCTAATTATGTTTTATATAAATAATATAAATGTTAGATTTATAATCATAAGTAATTTACTAATTAAAAATAAATTTGTTCTTGTAAGCAGTTTCTCAGCCCAGCCCAGAAGCGAAAACTTAAATAAACAAGCTAATTATCTATCAAAGTTTAGAGAACCCAAACTACTACTACTGGAAAACTGATCTTTGCTCGGTCGCCCTAAAACCACAATAGTCGCGGTTATAAAAAGAATCCGGACTAAAGATGATTTTTAGTCCCGGTTTAAAACCCCATAGCCATTCTACGATCTTTAGTCCCGGTTGGTAACACTAAAGATGATCTTTAGTCCCGGTTCATCCCCTGTTAGTCCCTTGTCAGAGGGGCGGGGATCTTTAGTCCCGGTTGGTGTCACAAACCGGGACTAAAGATCACCACTTTAATTACCAACCGGGAGTAAAGATACTAAAATCACGCGTAGTATATAATCCCTATTCCCTATCCTCTCCCCCACAACCGGCCTCAATCTCCTCAACAACCGGCCTCTCCTCTCCTCAGATCCATCTCCCTCTCCTCCTCCCCCTCCTCCCCTTCCTCCTCCCATCCCGGCCCACTCCTCCCCCTCCTCCATTCCCATCCGATGCCTAGCGAGGGCCGCCTCCTCCCCCTCCTCCCTTCCCGCACCCATCAGGCGGGGCCGCGCCCGGCGGGGCGGCCGACGGGGCCGCACGCAGGCCGAGTAGCGAGCGGCGGCAGGCGGCGCTACCGCATCCATTCTTTTTTTTCTTTTTTTTTTACAATTTGTGATTCACTGAGATGTATAATTTTGTGATTTGTTGTATGGATCTGAGATGTATAATATGTGATGTATTTGGTTTGTGTGTATTTTTTTAAGATTTGTGATGTATTTGATTTGTGTGTACAAGTAACTTAAGATTTTTTATGTGAATGTTTTGGGATGTTACTTTGATTTGGGGTTTGATTTGGGAATATGCATCCCACTTGATTTGGGAGAAAATATAGGGATTAAACTCTGGCTAAAAAATAATGAAAAAAAAAGGAGACCTAATGGGACTGCCGCTACCCTCCAACCGGGACTAAAGATCATCTTTAGTCCCGGTTATTTCACCCGGGACTAAAGATAGCGATCTTTAGTCCCGGATTCGTAGTCCCGGTTGGATAACCGGGACTAAAGGGGGGTTACGAACCGGGAGTACAAAGGGTTTCTCCACCAGTGACTAGTCCTACGAACCAATATTAGCCCTACAAAATACAATCACCCCAAGGGGATCTACACGATGATCTAAGGCTTTCACAAGGATTGGTGATCCACCAAGAAGGCAATCATATCTCTCATTGTCACCATCAAACGACGACAAACCTACTTACGGTGGAGGTGAGAAGACCTCATCGTGGTGTCGTCGTTCAGGCTCTCGTGGATTGGCTCCTCTCGTCGTCGTCCCTCAGCGCTAGTGAGCCCTCAGCAGCGGTCGACGATGGACCGTTGTTGGTGGTGTACAAGGTCGGGATAAGGATTCGGGTGTGGTTGTGCTACGTCCATCAGCAGTTCTTCGCGTTGCATGACTAGGTTCTAGCCATTGTCTCATTGTGGTCGCCATCCTTAGTCTTGGTTGTGACCTTCGTGAGTGCGGCCAACACCGACAAGAACAATGGCAGGATGTGTCATCTTTAGCGCTGGTTTCCTCGTCCGATCGACTTCGATAGCCATGGTAGTGGCAAGATTTGGTTACACAATTGTTTTGCAAATCAATTACTCTCCGATGATACCTTTCGCTTTGGCTCAACATCAAATTGTTGGCGGTGATGTGCACAATATTCGTCCAGCACCATGATCGGGCGTTGATCTTGGCAACTTTGTTTTCAAGTTTGAGGAGGAATATGTTTAGCAGTATGATTTTTTTATGATGGTGTTATCTCTGTCTTTAGAGTGTTTCAGTTAGTTTTCTCGTTATCCATCAAGATAATTTCCATTATCTTAAAAAATCCCTGCAAAGTACAAACCACAATGTAGTGGAATCTACTTCCTTCCTTTAATGGGTGGGGATTTTTTTATGTCCTTTTCTCTATATAATTACAACCACAAGGAGCCACACGTTTAACCACCTCATCAAAATTGTTTCTGTGGTACTACTTGTTAGGTAAAAATACCCTCCACTTCCCCACCAATTAAAATAACACCATTAATCTCTTCTCCACCCTTATAAAGATTACTTAATCTAGCAAACAATAGGACACTAATGACATCAATTTTGGATAGCGTTACATGTTCAATTTTATATGCATATGCTAATAAAAAATTAGATGTATATATAATTATAACCACGAGCAGCCACTGCGTTTAGCTACCTCATCAAAATTGTTTCTATTACTGGATTGACGATGCCTGTAATTAACAGTAATCAACGTGCCGAGTAAGGAAGCATTAAATTTGCCTATGTTATATTCAAACATATTCCCGCATCAACATACATGGTATGAAATAATTACCTTTAAGGTTGCAAGTGAAATTACCTTTAACGATGAAAAGGGCTCACTCCCACTTTTCCGTGTGCCTTGGTCCCATATCACTAGGACACATGAGTTGATTGGCGCGCTGTATTACTCCTTTTGCTGACCGCACAACTACCTCATCCCCTTCCCACCACCACTATTAGGATCCGTTTCTTTTATTCCTTGCCAACAAACTATATTAAATTGATAACAAAACCAATACATTTTTAACTATATAAAATTACTATCCCATTATCCCGCGTTCATTATATGTCGCACCAAAGGCGGTAATTCGAGGCAAAAGGAATAGCCTATATCAATTACTAGAGTGCAATAAAACACACAAAAAAAACATCTACATGTATTGTGATTATTATCTTAACTAATAAAATAAACATAATCACCATATTATCCACCAAGAATTTGAAAGTGGTGTCTACATCCAATAACTTTCTAAGAAAAAGAACAAGAAAGCTGGTTTTCATTTAACATAATCCTAAAAAGTTTTTCTTTCCATTCGTCATCCATGTATATATTAAAAACAACGAAAATAGCACTCCGCATTACCCATCTTCTTTTCTCTCCTCTTCTTCCCGACGGCAATTGTTTCTCTGTTTTTGTCTTGTTGTCGATCCCTCTCTACTTTTTGGTACCAAACTGATGCTCATCAAGGCTTAAAGCTATTCTAAACTGCGGTTTGAAACAACTGATTAGCCGTAAGCTAAAAATGAAATATAATTAGCATATGATTGCTTTAGTATTAGTTATTAAAAACTTGTAAATAGATTTATTTGATTTTTTAAAGCAACTTTTGTACACAAAGCTTCCACATGTAACGTAACATTTTGCAGGTTAAGAAATGTGTAACAAAAATTGAGCAAGTAGCCAAGCCGGAACACAGTTTAGAACGCGTCCTAGCCTCCTAGGCCTCCTTTATCGATGCCATGCTATTGAGTTGTATTATTTTTGTCGGTCATTTTCACAAAAAATGTGACAATAGCGCCTTATTTTGTTATCTAAAAACAAAGTAGTTTGTAACATGTTTTGACGTATTGGCCCACCCATATATGAGCTTGACCTATCACGGTGAGCTTATTATTGGTAAAGTTATAGTTTTCGTAAAAATATCGATTATTTTTACATGATATATATATGGTTAAAGTTGCATGAATAAAATCATTTTTAATAAACCATACACAACTTCACAAAAAAATTTCTTTCATTTGTTATAGTTTCAAAGTATTTTTAGAAATAGAGAAAATGGATAACCAAAATACACCACCCCTCACCTCTACTCCCTATTCTGTTTTCGCTGAGGAAACCCTCACCTTAACTCTCCTCCATCTCTCCCTTCTCTCTTTATGGAGACGCCAAGCCTTCACCCTTACATCGGCGTGAGCACTGGCGAAGAGGGCACGGCGTGGGGTGGACTCCTCTCCTCCCTAACCCCGTAGACCTCGCCTTCTATTTCCTGTGGCGTTCTTCCCTCCGCTCTGGCCGGTGGAGCATCTCGGCTCAAATCGAATTGGAGGTATTCATCCGTCCTTCTCTTGGGACCCTCCCTTTTTCATCTGCATCCACTCATGGGGCAGCGCAACATGGATTTGGGATCTATCGTGATTCGGGAGTGTTCGGCTGCAAAATCTAATGGTTAGAGCTAGCAATATTATTATCGAAAATAGAGAAAAAAATGGAATAACAAGAAGAAGGTGGAATAGTAGAAGAATTTTGTGACAAATTTTTAGTTTTACCTTGCACTATGGTAAAGAACAAATTTATATTACAATTATAATATTTTAATAATATTATTAAATTATTGATAAATAGGAGCATATCACATAACAAATGTGAATAATTTCTTCACTTATATGTGTAGTTAGTGAGTAACCTCCTCTCTTTCTCAGCTTCACTCAAAATCCTTTAAGCATAGAACGTTCAGCTGATAAACATCTTGGTCTGAATCAATTAGAGAAACGGTTATTATTTTCAATGGTCGTCCATTTACATGGTAACTAATATTTATCGAGACCAGGTTTACCAAACCGTTTGAGGTGGGGTTACCATTATACCACGGTTTGACGGTTACCACGAAAACCACGTAGTTACCGTGAGGTATATCGTGGTTTAAAAAAATTAAAAATGTTACCGCACGTGATAACCACACGGTTTTATAAACCATATTTTTCAATAAAAAAATTCAAACATTTTAAATTCCATACATTTATACTATAAATTTGAAATATTGGAACATAAGTTTTCAATGCTCGAAACTAGGGAAAGCAATTGATTATCTATTTGATAAAAAAAATATTTAGTTTAAATGAACACAGCATATCCTATTTTACTATATAAGTTATAACCCACTAACTCCTTAAACTTATAACATGCAAAGATGACACATCATCATCCACTAACAATCATCACATTTAAACATCATGCAAACATGCTATATTATCTATAATTTTATAGTTTTTATAGTTTAAGAGCTTTTAAAATACAAGCATATTAAATTATCATCCCACATAATTCACATAATATTTCAATGTATATCTTTATTATGTTTTATGATATGCTATATACTTATATAGTTCATCCTCACTTAATTAATGTTTAAATAATTAATCTATTGTCCAAATTATCTTTCTCTAATTAAGACATATTACATTGTTTTTAGCCTTTAGATGATTAATCTACGGTCCAAACTATCTCTCTAATTTTCTTCTTCCATAAAGTCATACCTTACTTTTTACGTTTGAATCACCATTCTACATGCTATTTAAATTTAAATTATCATAAACCACATTAACTTACTTAATCTGATGTTATCTAGCTATCTTACACGTTATTTTTTTATTGTTATTATACTAAATTCCCATAGCAATGCGCGGGATTTCACCTACTTCCTCCGTTTCAGAATGTAAAACTTTTTAGCATTGCTCATATTCATATAAATGATAATAAAAATATATATATATATATATATATATATATATATATATATATATATATATATATATATATATATATATATGTATCTAAATTCATTAACATTTATTAATATATATAATGCTAGAAAATCTTAGGGAGTATATAGTAAGTAAAAGGACAAAAGGCCAATATCATTTTCTCATATTTCTTAGGTATCCTGTGTAAGCGCAATTGTGCAAATCATCGGAAATCATCGTGCGGGGGTGCTGCGGGCGGTTGCGTCGAGCCGCGATATTTCCCCCCCTCCGCTCGCCCTCGACTCCGACTCCGACTCCTCGCGAGTTCGCCCGCCGCCGCCGCCGCCGCCGCCGCCGATCCCCCATCCATCCCGCGACCGAGCAGGGTTGCCTCCGCCGCGTCCCGGTGAGCATCGCACGTCCTCTTTGTTTTTTTTGTTCTTCTTTTTTGGGCTCGAATTCGTGTTAACCCTAGCTTGCGTTCTAGAGAAATTTGGGTTCGACTGAACCCCCTACGCCCCCATGTTAGATCCGCCATGGCTTGCCATGCCCGCCGCCCCCATGAGAGGGAGGTCCGCCTCTGATGAGCTTAGGGTTCACCGGGTGCCACACCCGTTAGGGCCCTCTCTGCCCCCCGTGTGGTTCTAGAGCTTATTTACTGTCATCGATGATTGCGGGAATGCCTGAGTTAGAGAGGGTTTTCCATTCCCGTTCTGTCAGTGTGGTCGCCTTGGGGCTAACTAGTTTAGCGGTGTAGAGGGGATGTAAAAGGTCCGTAGTGAGAGGCGCATCGGAACGCTGTTTAGCTGTTTTGATGAAACGTGTTTTGGGTATGGGGGGTCTGATCGTTGGCGCACTACCCGTCTTTGTGGAATATGGGGGCCTGAAACTTTTAGTTAGTTTCTTCGGTCGGGAGAATGAGCTGTTCAACTGTACCTGATGGGCGCTATTTAAATGCCTCGGAGTGATGCTAGCATCACATAGTCCTTTTCTTTTTACATAATTTTGTAAAAGAAGAATGTTTACACGGGGTATCTGCCACATTGGTTTTTGTTTTGCTTTCACTGTAGTTGAAGTCAAGATGGCTGTCACATTATATATGACAGTTGGCTTTTTCAATGATTAATGTGAATTTGGGCTAATATGGGATTGTATCGGATTGAATCATGAATAGCTTATTCTGGACAAGAGCTCCAAATATTGGTTTGTCTGTTCGGAAATACTGTCTATCTTGGTGATTTTGCTTCGTTAGGTGACAAATAGAAGGGCATTTCTTGAATGAGAAACTACTCATATGATTGATATTGGCATGTTGCTAATCTAGATACTTTACAAAGATATCTTTTTAATCAAAACTAGGAGAGCTTGAATATACTCGTCTCACTGTGCTATTTGTTTTGGTGCTGAAGGGTTTATTACAAAAACCATATACGCATCGTAATGAGCCTTAACCTAAAATATCTTCCACCGTTACTCTAAATATGATGCTTGGTTTCATGAACTTGCCTTTTTTTCTTTCTCATAATTAAATTACTAGTTCAAGTGAGCTTTGTATACTAGAGACTTACTGTGTTCTTTCAGCGGTAGTAATTTGAAAGAGAAAACTGCACTGTGTTGATGTTACTTTTGCCATTTATCATTCTATATTAGTATATTACAAAGACATTTAGCCCTTTTTACTCTCTTATGGTTGGCTTTATTTTCTGTTGCTCATTATTTATTTTACTGCCTTATGTACTGACAAATAGGGGGGGTTGACCTACATTGTTTGGCCAAGACAGCGAGTAAAATCTAGATGTAAAGTTTGCTGTGGGCTTGGGAAACTTGAAGATGATCAAAGAATCTTCATCTCCTGCATTGGATGCTGATAAAATAGAAGTTCCTTCACCAAAGGACGAAAACAATTCCTCAAATTCTGAAGCTGCTACAGATAATGAAGACTTTGAAATTAGTGATGATGATGACGATGATCGTAACCACAAGCACCGGAAGCGGGAGGCGAGACCTCAATCTTTTGATGAGAATACTGAGCAATCTCCAGGGGGTCCTCTGAAAAAAAGACACAAAATTTCTGGTGGAGCTGATTCACATGGGGAAGCACAGAAAGATTTCTTTCCGAAATTTAAGAGGCGCCCTGGAGCAGGGGCTCATAGTCGGGCACCTCGAGTTAATCCATCCTTTCGTGATTCATCAGCTTCTGTGGCTGCTCGCGCTCCTATGACACGTGGAAGAGGAAGGAATGGTGCACCCTGGGCTCAGCATGAACCAAGATTTAACACACTTGAGATGATTGACTTTGCATCACAGATGGCCTCTCAAGGACCACCAACTCATCCTAGCTTATTTATGGGTCCTGCATTGCCAAGTGGTGGTAGTGCACAAAATGGTTCTTGGGGTCCATATGGATTTATGCCTGGAATGCCTAATGGAATGCTGGATCCAATTCATCCACTTGGAATGCAAGGCCCTATTCAGCCTGCAATATCTCCTTTAATTGATCTTGGCATGCCTCGTCAACGTTGTAGAGACTTTGAGGAGCGTGGATTTTGCTTGAGAGGGGATATGTGCCCCATGGAGCACGGTCTGAATAGAATTGTTGTTGAAGACATGCAGGTCCGTATATTTCTTGATCTGCATATACCTTTATGAATTGTATCCATGTTTACAATACTGTCCTTTTTAGTATTCCAACTTCCATCATATCATATTGTTCTAAGATGCTGTGTGAGATATATGCGATATTAATATGGTTTGATCTATTGCTTCACATTTTCAGTCATGAGTGCCATTGTTGTCAAACATTATTGTAGCCTTGAGAGGTGTTCACTAAGTGCAGTTTTATTGCTGATAAATTGAACTGCTACTTAATGTTCTTAACATCTTGTCAGGAATCTTTGTATAATACTATGATTTAATCCTAGCATGTTTGCTTCATCTTTGATGCTGCGTATTGTTTTTTATTATTATTATTTAACTCAAGTTAGCTGAATAGATTTGATGTACCGTGCTTATGTGTTATGAGTCAAGGTTCCTGTGGTCATGCTCTGCTAGAGTGAATTTTCTTTCTTATGTCAAAATTGAGGTTTAATAGAATGATTTCTTAAAATATTTTGCAGAGCCTGTCACAGTTCAATCTTCCCGTCACAGTTCCAAATACTCAAGGACTAGGAATCCAAAATGAACCAGGAACTGCTCCTGTCAACACATCAAGCCTTGGAGGCAGTAAAGGTGTTCCTGCAAAAGACATCAAATCTGCTGTGACAAATGATGTACTGAAGCTAAATGGAACCACTGCTTTAGCTGTTTCTGATGCTGATGTATATGATCCTGATCAGCCTCTCTGGAACAACGAACACCCTGATGCATCTGCTGGTTTTGCACATACTGATGGAGTATGGAATGCTGAATCCTTGGGCTATGAAGCAGCTCGGGAGCAGGGAAATCAGGTTCTTGCAGCTGATAGTTCACAGAACTCAAAATCTTCTGTTTGGGGGCGAATAGCATCAAAAAAACTAGGGCATGGCAAGACAGCTAATGCTACTTCAACTAGCGCCACTGGAAACAAAAGAAATGAAAGTTATGATGAAATGGCTCCTAGCACTGTCCATGTCAATCCTGCTTCTGCTAAAGACAGTAATGGTCAATCCAATTCGAGAATATTTGGAGATGTGGGCCGGCAAAGTAACCGGGCTTCTCATAAAGCATCCCGGACACTTTATGTAAATGGTATTCCTCTAGAAAGCAATAGATGGGAGGCCCTTCTTTCGCACTTCCAGAAATTTGGGCAGGTGATAGATATCTATATTCCATCTAACAGTGAAAAAGCTTTCGTTCAATTCTCTAAAAGAGAAGAGGCTGAAGCTGCCCTTAAAGCTCCAGACGCTGTAATGGGCAACCGCTTTATAAAGCTATGGTGGGCCAATAGAGATAGGATTCCTGATGAGGTAGAGGGTAGAATCCCAGCAAAATCTTCCCATATGTCTGCTGCCCTGGCCAATTCTGTCCCACAGCCATCTTCTTCCAACCGAGGCAAGGAAAATCTTCAATCTGCAACTCCAAGAGCCAGTTCTGGATCTTCTGCTGAAGCATCAGGTCCTGGTACAGGCCATAAAATGCTTCCTGCAAATAGTGTAAAATCATTACCTCCTGACACCAAAAGGCAAGAAAGTCTTGAGCTCTTGGAAGAACTTCGTAAAAAGCAGGAGATCTTAGCTCAGAAGCGTGATGAATTCCGCCGGCAGTTAGAGAAACTGGCAAAGCAAGTATGTAACTTTTTCCAAGTATTGGTTGATTCGATATTGTTAATCTCATTACTCACATTGTCAGTGGAACCTACTATTCATTAGTTAGTGGGCAGACTGACTGTTGGTAATAGACTTTGCAACCATTGCATTTTTTTTGCTATTGTAATTTCTGGAAGACTGACTGCTGATACTAGATTTTTCTTGTCTATTGCATTTTTTTGCTGTCGTAATTTATGATTTCTAATAACTAAACAACTATTTTGCAGAAGGGTTTAGCAAATTCAGCCAAACAGGCAGAAGCTGGTGGAAAAGAAGTTGCTTCTAATGATGTACATAGAGTTACTGATTCGAAGTCCATGAACACCGGGACAGAAGGGCCTCGAGATGCTGCTGGTACACTGCAAAACAGAACTTCTGGAGAGCTGGCTTCATCTTCCCACAAATCATCGGCAACATCTGCACAGAAACCAGCTGTAGCTACTAAGCAGACAAGTCCTCTGTTAGTACCATCACAGAATAGGTTTAAGCTTGACAATCGGACCACGTCATTTCGAATCCTTCCACCTTTGCCACCTGAAATCGCAGATGTAAGTGTGCTACCCAACATCCTTCCCTGCCCTTCAATATCCAAGAGAAGTGATAATATTTTGTCGTATGTGCAAGTCAATATTATCCAAATCACAACATATATTAAATTATGCCTCATTTGTGGATGAATGGGACACCCACCATTTCTGAATTTCCGGTATCCTTTTCATATAATGAATGGCAGCACTTAACCTTAGTGTGTGCTTCGTCCTATGTTATGATTTACATTTCTGTATCAATAATGGTCCCTCTACTGCTAATATTGGAAGTGTTCTGTTCCATTCCTGGCAGTTCAGTTCTCACCCTTTAGCTTTGTCACCTACTGTATTTTAATTTTTATACCCCTGCACTCTTCAACCTATTGCAATTGGCATGGTCGTCTGTTTATCTGATTAAACATAGAGGTCATTTCTTTTCTCGTTCTTTGATTATGGATTTTGCAAGAATTTGTCTGCAAGACTGCAACTGCTAATATTCTGCGCTACATATAATTATGAATTCATGTACTTCCTCCAGTCACAAAAACATGTCACTTTTTCATATATCTACAACTTTTTGCCCCACAGTTAACATAGTTTTCAGGTTTTATAAGTATATTACAATAGGAATTAGTGGTCAGTTTTCATGACCAGAGGAAATATTATTCACGTGGTGAACTGATAAGTCAGTCCAGAAATGTTATATATAGTGGCATGTGGATCCGATTATATTTAAGGGCCCCTTTGATTTGGAGGAAAAACATAGGAATTTTAGAGGTTTTCAATCCTATAGGAAAATTTCCTATGAAGCCCTTTGAAACAAAGGATTGAATCCTATCCAATCCTTTGAAATTCCTATGGAATGGACAATCCTATAGAGATTTTGGAGGAAATTTAGCAAGAGCTTCAACCTCTTGCTAACTTTCCTTTGAGTCTATCTCTCTCATCCAATTCCTGTGTTTTTCCTGTGGTTCAATCAAACGGTCATTCCTGTATTTTTCCTGTGTTTTGCAATCCTTTGTTTTACACTTACATTCCTATCAAAATCCTACGTTTTTCCTATTCCTACGTTTTCTCAATCCTGCGATTCAAAGGGGCCCTAAAATTCTTTATTTCCACACAGAGTAAGATGTCAAAAGAAATTTAAGGTCTCGGTATCTGTGTTACTTGTGTTTATTGTTTCTGTTGTGTTATGTGTTGTTCTGTTGATGTGGTTGATTGAAAGCTGTTTTCTTTTGTTCTGATGTCAAATACTACTTTGTTTACAGGAATCTGTCTTGAAAGATCACTTCATGTCATTTGGGGAGCTTTCATCTGTTGTTCTGGAAGACACTGAAGCGTACAACCATGATGCTACCTTAAAACCTTCTCTGAGTTGCTCAGCTTGTGTGACATACACGACACGACAATCTGCTGAGAAAGCATTTATTGGTGGCAAATCTTGTAAAGGGCATACACTAAGATTTATGTGGTTAACAGCCTCTCCTGGTTCGACTAACCATTCTAGATTCCAGAAAACCTCAATTCCTGCCAGGGCCTCTAGTTTCTCCAGTCAAACTCAAAACATGCCATCTGAGTCTTCAACTACTGTAGGAAAAATGTCATCCACAGTCAAATCCAGTACAACTGCAAAGCCTCACAGTGAATCCATGCCGACTGCCACAAGTGCGAAGACATCTGTTGAAATTCCCAAAGCTTTGTCTTCTAGAGATTCTGATGTTTCACAATGAGGTATGCTGTACTTTATTTGGCAATGAGTTATGGTTTATGATAATGTTTGAAATTGGTTTTTTGTTGCTTATTATACATGACAAGTTCTTGTGAAATTTTCCTTTCTGTCAACTCGTTCATGGCAAGGAATATTGTTGAGATAGGCCATGCAAGTTTTTGAAAAGTGGGTCAAATGGAATATATAATTTAAATGATGAATCCTGATCCAATGGAGAAACAGTAATTGTGGGCTTGCATGCAGTAAAATTCTTGTTTCATGTTTGAATTTGCATAAGGAAATATGAGATATCCGGCTCCTGATGGGAACCAGCTCCAGGCGACTTTTGGATCGTTTTACAAATTTTTTGTCCTTCTCTTAAACATGCCATATGGTTATTGTGTGTTCATTGTTTGGGGAAAAAAATAAATCTAAGTAGGTAAGGATGCTATCACCAATTAGTTTGGCTCGGAATATTGTGCGGTCTTCACAAATCACAAGGAATCTTATACTACAATAGCTCTTGCCAGTAGCTTACAATCTGTATTGGCTGATAAATCAATATATACTGATTGATATGAGAATCTTGTCAAAGTGGATGTACTGCTGTTAATACATGATGTTTAGCTTGTCCAATTTCCAGCATCTTTATTGGGAATGTGTCTATCTGAGTAAAATGTCACATACACTTGGAATAGCAATTTGTGTTATGCATCTTGTCAGTTGCCCCAGTTACCCAGTAGGGGTTTAGCCCTTTAAGGATACCAAATGGTTATTAGGTTACTACAAACAGGTAACAGATGGGTTGCATTATAACTAATTTTGCACCCACATTAGCCTAATATAGATGCTATTTAGACTTTAGGCCTTCCGTAAATTGTGGAGTTGTTCTATTGGTGCTTTTGTGGTCATTTTGCATTTTATTCTTACTAAGCAAAATGTTTCTAGATTATTGTTTGGTTTTGCTTGCTTTTATAGGATACCCGTTTTCCTGATATTGCATCCAGCCTGACACTGATATGAGCTATCAAAAATCCATTGCATTTACTTGATGTTTTCTATTATTATAATTGATCGTGTATAGATTGATATGTATCCAACCACAACAAAAATCCTTTTCCCTGTTAAAGGAAACTAGTAGCGCTAAATGGGCTTTGTTTTGCAGGTTAAGGATTGAAGATTGGGTGGCCATCTGAGCCCTGAGGCTTCAAAATTTGGTGGCTTGTCTATTACACAAACCTGCACCTCTTTCAGATCCCCGGCGTATTTAAGTTTTGGAAAATACTGTTGAAATTATTGATAGTTTATTTTGTGGCGGCATTGGGGCAAAACCCATCCAAAGCCAAAAGGGTAAAGGGTAGTGTTAGGATCTAAACTACGCCTGCTGGCATTTTGGTAAATCATTGTCTGATCTTCCTTGAGAGAATGTAATTGGTGTTGTATACTTTCTTGAATGGAAGTAGCATCCTGCTGAAAGCGGTTCATACTATGTTGTTAGGTCTCTGTATTTTGTAGCTCTCCCTTGCTGAAAGCAGCTCCATGTGGATTCCATTTTGCTCTCACTGAAGCAGCAACCTTTTTTATTTTTAAGTTTCTCATGTAGGTTTCTTGTCCAAAGTTTCAATTGATAGGAAAACATGACATGTTCACGTACATGACTGCACCCCTTTTCAATGCAACTTCTCTAACCAAATACTACCTCCATCTTAAAATGTCTGACGCCGTTGATTTTTTTAAAATTGTTTGACCGTTCGTCTTATTCAAAAAATTTAAGTAATTGTTAATTCTTTTTCTATCATTTGATTTATTGTTAAATATACTTTTATGTATACATATAATTTTACACATATCACAAAAGTTTTTGAATAAAATGAACGGTCAAACATGTTTAAAAAAGTCAACGCTATCAAACATTTAGGGAAGGAGGGAGCACGTATCACTATAACGTTACCTGTCTTCTGCTTGATATGTTTATATCTTTTCTTGGAAATGCTTGATGTCTGTGTGTTTTGGTATTTTATAAGGGATGGAAGGCAAAAGAAAAAAAAACGAGGGGGAAAAGTGGAGAAAAAAAATATTGAGTCAGGTGAAGATTTTTAGGGGAAAAATGAATAAAAGAATGGAAGTGAGAAGTTGAACTTTCGACTGAAACATTGAGAGATGGGAAACGGAATTCCTGTGTGGTGGAAGCAAATGGGACAGTAAACTGCAGCCATCTCGTTTTGTTCTGTTCATTTTGGAATCAAGCTGTTAATTGAACTCATGATCATCTTAAATAGGTTTAAAGATAATAAAATAATACTACATCCGTTCCAAAATAAATACAGTCATGAGTTTCCACGTCTAACTTTAATCGTCCGTCTTATTTAAAATTTTTTTATAATTAGCAATTTTGTTGTTATAAGATGGTAAAACATAAATAGTATTTTACTCGTGATTTATGTTTTTAATTTTTTTAAAAAAAATTTCAAATAAAACGAATGATCAAAGTTGGGAGCTGAAAATCATGGCTGCACTAGGTCAGATCGAGCAAGAAAACAAAACCGGATAGAAACTCACTCCAGATAAACAACAAAACAAAACAGAGTACAAGGCACCACAGATCGCTTAGCGCGCAGAATATCAAACAAAAAATGCATGATCTATTGCTCTTGCATTGAAACTAAAAGCAAATTGTTTAGGGAACTACATCCCAAAATGGAATAAGCGCTGATATATAAGATTTAAGATTCGGATTTGGTGCTCTCGTCTATAATTGTCAGAGAGACCCCCTCACGGTATCCTCAACTCAAATTTCGTCTTTCTCAGAAAAGCAACTCTTTGTATCAGTCAAAAATTTGCAGTATTATTTTCCAGACAAAGCACAAAGCAGCTCTCAGGCTGCGATTGGTGGCGCGCGCGGAGTTTATATGTCGAGGAGCAATCTCCGTGGGTCTTCAACCACGTCCTTGATGCGGCGCAGGAAGTAGACAGCTTCTCTGCCGTCGATCAGCCTGTGGTCATATGTCAGCGCAAGGTACATCATTGGCCTCGCGAGAATGTTGCCGTCCACGACCACAGGGCGTTGTACAATGGAGTGCATTCCAAGAATAGCAGACTGCATTAGATATATATACATTGTGTCAGATGAATGAATATCAACCTAGTGAGGGCAATTTTTGCAAGTGGCAAAAATGAAAAAGGACCTGTGGGGGGTTGATGATAGGTGTGCTGATAAGGCTTCCGTAAACACCACCGTTAGAGATGGTGAATGTTCCTCCTGCCATCTCATCAATTGAGAGTGCCCCCTCAGTAGCCTTCTTTGCAAGGGCGTTTATCCCTTTCTCAATGTCCGCAAAGTTCATGTTATCAGCATCTCGGATAACAGGCACCACAAGACCCTAAAATGGATATGTACATGACAGTGACTATGTATGTCTTATAACCCAATCAGAGGATGATCTTTGGATTCAACACAGGACTAGTACGTATCAAGTTACCTTGGAAGTACCAACAGCAACACTGATGTCAACATAGTCTCTGTATATGATGTCATCACCATCAATGACAGCATTGACAATTGGTTGGTTTTGAAGTGCTGTAACAGCAGCCTGACAAAGCAAATGGAACGAGCACATTGAATATATTAGTAAAATTACCAAGCAATAGTTCAGCTTCAGCAGTACACAAGATTGGTCAGTACCTTGACAAAGCAGGACATCAGACCCAATTTGACACCGTGCTTGGTGACAAACTCATCCTTATAATCAGACCGCAGCTTCATCAAATTAGTCCTGCATTGTATTGTCTTAACAGGGTAAGGGGACAAAACAGAAAAGCATATCTAGCCAAGCTTTTCTAGGAAGAATTAGTAGTACGCCATGCAAGATTCTACCATTTCTAGGTAAACGGAAGTAGAGCAAAATCAAACAAATGCCTATATGCCATGTCCTTTTATGAAACAATAGAATTTTGGCCTGTGATACTGCACAGATTAGTTGTGACGGTACTTTGACACCTTATTCAGTTTATCATAAATTGCAAGCTGGTAGGCAGGGACCAAAAATTATGCACCCAACTACCCTGATAAAACATGGCTAATGGTCAGCATGCTTGGGCAAATATTATAACTCCTCAAAATTAGTGGCCAAATGTCACCATTTCAAACCATATACATTTGGGTGATGATAAAGAAAAAACTAAAAGATAAATCAAAATTAGGGGCCAAATGTCACCATTTAAAACCATATACATTTGGGTGATGATAAAGAAAAAACTAAAAGATAAATGACATCATGTTAACTTACATGTCAACTTCATTAAATGTGGTCAGCATTGCAAATGTGTTTTGTGAATCCTTCAAACGGTTTGCAATACGCTTCCTGAGCCTTGGCATTGGCACCTGCAAATTAAAATGGTTAAAGATATGCTTGTACCTGTAAAAAAAAAAATCTGTGCAACCTATTGATGATGAAAGTTGATCTTACCCTCCGTTCTCGTTCTTTTGGAGGGAGCTGTGGTTCTGTAGGGGAGGTTTTGGGTGGCAGAGGCATCTTGGGAGGTTCTGCTTTTGGTGACTTCTCTTCTAATTTTGGTTTTGTCTCCTCAGCTTTTGGAGGCGTTTCTTTTGGGGTTGAATCCTCAGACGGAGCAACATGTGTTTCAGCTGGTGCCGCAGACTTTGATATGATAGCAACTTTGGTGCCTGGAGTAACAGTATCACCTTCGCTAGCAATGAACTGGAAACCAAGGCACGATCAAAAAAATAGCTTCGGAGTGAAATATGATGGCGAAAGCAGCCAAGTTGAGAAGGTCAATGTTTTTCACCTTTTCAATAACACCAGCTTCCGGACTAGCAACATCTATAGTAACCTGGAATACAGAAAGGCAATGATACATTTTAAAAGACTATCCATGAGTGCTAAATTGCATGTCTATTCAGACAGAACAGAAAGTGATTGAATGACTGTACCTTATCAGTTTCAATCTGTGCTATGGGCTCATCAGCCTCAACTCTGTCACCAGGTTCTGTATTAAAGGAAGGTTAATTGTAAGCAAATGAACCTGATGTGTGTGTGTGAGAGAGAGAGAGAGAGAGAAATCATACTCTTCAAGAAGTTAGCAAGAGTTCCATCAGTTACAGATTCACCCATGAAAGGGACAACAGCTTCAACCTGGTCTCCTATATGAACAAAAACAATCGATAAGGGCAGGAACAATTTTATAAAGCATTGTCTGCCTCATAAAGGAGGTGCAGCTTACCATTGTCAGATGCAAATGACCTACTCCAGAGTTGGTACGGAGAGGCATTTGGCAAGTAATAGCGTCTTCTATAAGAGATTCAACCAGAGGCGATCATTTAGTGCATGAATCATTAGGACTGAAACAAATGTTTACAGCACATAATTAATTATACATCTAATACTCACCTTGTAAGCTTTGAGCTCTGGGAACCAATTGGAATAAGAGCTGAAAAAAGTACCTACATATTAGAGCCAAAGCTAGAAACAACTAACAATTAATATAGAATATGTCAATCAATAACCTGAAAGTTGACTGCTGTAGTTCCTGGCATGTGAATAACTCCTGATGAGGCCTAGAGTCTGCAAGTCAAATCAGAATACAGAGTAAGACAAAAAAAAAAGAAGCTAACGAACACAAAGTAATAGATGCCATAAACATGCAGAATTAAATACATTGCTGTATATTCTGTATATCTGCATATGTGAATTACAAGTGCAAGAACTGGGGGTAAACTATTTCTCCATGACCACAGGTTGGCAGAATGGAGCAGTAAAGTGTTCAAAGTTTAAAGCCTTTTCGGTTTGAACCTTAGAGCACAACAAGTATTCAAACCCAAAATGTCACCATAAAATTCAAAGTTGCAGATGTTTTGCTAAAATCTTGTGTATGCTCCCATTGAACTGAACACTAACAAGGAGTAAGTTCTAAAGAAGTCAAACTGATCTGGACGCTTATTTGGCATAAACAAGAATGATCTCCTTATACTTTTGCTGAGCATAGTAAGTTTGACACTGAGCTTTGCTGCACTCTTCAATGACATAAATGCCAAATTATTGTGCATACGAATGCGCCTCTAGCAGTACCATTAAACTCACCACACAAGCCATACTGATCTCTAATATAGAGCACGCAGCAACGATGAGGGGCATAGCAATAGCATGAGTACATAGACATCGACAGACAGCGGTATAACCCAGGGTAAGCATAAATCGCATTTAATCAACAAGTATCCTTAACCAGAAAACAAAATCGCTGATCTAACGCCTAACTCAGCGCATGTGAGTCTCATCTCATGTGAACCTGATGCCCTCCTTAGTACACAGGAAAGCTACTACCACAAGAGAAAAAAAAAAGGGGGGCTAAACATATCATCACAGATTCATACGACGACCACAGTTTTTCACAACAAGACCAAACATATCGGAACTTGGAACCCTAATCTACTCAACTCCCACCCCCACCCTAATTTCTATCCCTGTTCGCGGATCGCGCGTAGCGCGCATCCATCCTCCAACCGCCACGTCGGATCCCAATCAACCTCACCCCGATGCGACCCCTAAAAAAAATCCCAATCAACCTAGCCGTCGGGAGAAGGGGAAAAAAACGGGAGATCGCCCCTCGAATCGAGCCCACCGCATCGACGCGTCGGCCCACCTCAAACCCTAGCCACCGCGTCTTCCCCAAGACAAAAAGGAGAGAGAGAGAGAGAGAGAGAGAGAGAAGAATGCAAAATCGCACGCCGCGAGTCGGAGCGGAGAGAGGGGGGAGGGGGGGGAGGCTCACCGCGTTGGAGCGGCGGAGGAGGCGAGAGGCGATGCGGGACGCCATTCGCCGGGGTCTCGCTGCGGCGGCGGCGGCGGCGGAGGGGGGAGGAGTCGCGTGCAGACCACACCGTGTTTGGGGAAGGAGAAGGGGAATGGATTTTGATTTATTTTTTTTTCCCTTTTCTAGTATTGGATCCTTCCTTCTCTGACTTGTGGGAGAAGAAGAGAGAGGTAGTAATAATGGAGATCTGGATTGTGGAGGAAGGGGGAGGGGGAGCGCATGCGCCTGGTCCGTTTCTTCCAAAATGGTGGGCCCACCTGTCAGTGTCCTCCCCAAGCTTAGCTTCCCATTTGCGCTCTCCTCCCTCTGTCCCCTCTCTTCCACGCGGCAGTGCATTCCTCTCTGCGACGAATGTTCAATTCTCTTCCTTTGACCGCAGGCTTTCTACGAAAATTAAACAATTCAGCAACAACCATATCCTTTTTATATCGTTCTCATGGTTTGGCTTATATTTATGCTTCCTAGAAAAAATACACGTGCGTTACAATGAGTAAATGATATTTTAATCTTATACGGTTTAGCTAAGGTGAAATTCACCATGGGAATTCGCTTGGATTCTTTTTAGTTACAATTAGGAGACGAAAGTTAGCATGTCAGTTTTTTTTAAAAAAAGAGATTTCTTATACGATTCCTTTTATATTTTCAAAAAAAAAACGAACTTAAAAACCGACTCATACGGGAATCTGTATTTCTAAAAGCGAATGAACTTAAAAACTCACTCAAACACGGATGACGTATCAAATTACTGGAAAAAAAGATTTTCAGTTTTTATAATAGTAGATATGAACTACGAATTTAAAACTTATTTTTAAAGTTGATTTTATGTTTTTTTCATCATGATTTATTTTGCAGCATTTACTTTTGTGTCACTGAAAATACATATATAAAACTTTTATTTATAAATTGTTTTTACTAATAAATGGTATTAATAAATGTAACAATAACCTCCTTGGCCTCCTTCTTGCACATGTTGTTGATAATGATGGAGGGATGCAACCAATGAAACTTGTGGAACTAGAGCTTTCATTTGGCATCCACATGATGATGACTTGGTGAGCCATCATGCTCCTTGCCGAAGTGTGTGTAAGTACGTCGTCCAATACATCATCCACAATCAATACCCATAGGTATCATGTCTGGTATCTTTGGTATCATAGCTGATACCTATGTATCAGATCCAGTACGTGCGGGTACCATGACTGGTACCCACAGTGCTAAACTTAGTATACCTGCGGCATCGCTAGTATTCACGGGTATGCCTTAGGTACCAGGGTCGACACCTGTGAAGTATCAAGTATCAAGTACCAACGTTTTCTCTCTTCTTCTTCCTTTCCCTCGGTTCGACCCCTTGCTGCTACTGTTGTGACTAGTGTTGCTACCTACATCGTTGTAGGTGCTAGCTAGCTCCAGACGTGAGGGGCGCCGAACATGTGGAGTAGAGCAGGATGATTCTAAATTTATAGGAAGAAAGTAAATACGTGGGATGACATCAGTCTTTCTTAAAGTGTCCCGTTTGGACATAATCCCGTTCTCTAGTAGCCCTATAGAAGCCCTCTCAAGACAACATTAGATGTATCTCAAACAGAGGGGGGATTACACTGGTTACACATCATCAGTGTTAGTTATATACACCGCTATATACAAGAAGGCAGTCAGCATCAATCACGCTACTACTGCACAAGCTCGGGTGTGAGCCTCAGCAAGAACGAGACGTCCTCCCGCCGAGAGAAGCTCGCCGTCGTCCTCGCCGCCGGCGACGTCATCTCCAGCAACCCCACATCTCCACCACCGTCCATGTAAGAAGAAGAAGAATCACGCTCCGGCACCGGCACCGCCGCGGCGGCGGCGGCGGCGAACTCGGACACGGCCGCGGCGATCTCCGCCACCAGGTCGACGATCACGCCGTCCACCCCCATCAGCTGCTGCAAGTACACCGCCTTCGGCACGTTGCTGCATTATGCAAATGCAAATGCAAGCAAAGACATCATCAATGTCGTCGTCGTCGTCGTCAGCTGCAGCCACACACAAGCACATGATCACGACGGCACTCACTTGAGCTGGCCGTAGGTGAGGAGGGAGAGGCCGGCCTCCTTGATCCGGCCGATCGCCGACGGCTGCCGGAGCACCGCCCGCGCCTCCGACACGATCCCCCGCAGGCTGCCGGCGACGCACAGCTTCACGGCAGCCTCCAGCGAGTTCCGCCTCTCGTCGGCGAACACCTGCGTCCCTCCTTTCGTCAGGAAGTACACCTGAAGATTTTTCATTTCACCGAAGTTAGGCAGGTCGGTCACTCACTCACTGTTCAATTGTTCATCGTCTGAAAATATTGGCCATGGTAAAGTGCTCATTAATAAAACCACTCCGGTCACAAATATATGTCATTTCACTCCCTCTTTCGCAATCAGAAAGAGTACATAACATGTATGGAGAAATTCTACGGACCTACTCTCTCCGTCCCTAAATATTTGACGTCATTAACTTTTTTAAACAGTATGACCGTTAGTCTTATTTAAAAAAATTAAGTAATTATTAATTCTTTTCTTATCATTTGATTTATTGTTAAATATACTACTACTACTTAAGTTTTTGAATAAGACGAACGATCAAGCATATTTAAAAAAAAAATCAAAGATGCTAAATATTTAGGGACGGAGGGAGTAATAAACTAACATGTCTAATTGTCTTGCAGAGTACAATGTAGATAGTGAAATTACTTACAGGGTATCTATCTTGCAGTTTGCGCATAATTCGCGCGGCGTCGGGCTGGAAGCTGGAGAAGAAGATTGGCCTCTCCTTGGCATGCTCAAAGACGACCTGAACAAAGAGGGAACACCAGTCAGATATCCAGATAGGCAACTTGCATCATCTTCGGGAATGGATTCTATTTTTAGCATTTCTCACAACTACTTAGATGGTTTTTAGACAAACAAGAGGCACATCTCCTCTGAGAATTTAAAACAGTTTTCCCATCTTCGGAGATGTGGTGGCACTGCAAAGAAAGCTCTCAACATGCCTTGAGAATGGCCTGAAGGATGCCGGTGAGCTCCATCTCCCGGTACACGACGTCGTCGTCGAACTTGAGCTCGACGTTGAACCCGACGCGGCGGTCGACGCCGTCCAACGCCTCCTGCAGCGTGCAGAGCGCGTCGTCCGACTGCACGTCCCATCTCAGCACCCTGCCGTCGTTCAGCTTCCTGAACAATGGCTTCCCAGCCTGAACTCGATCGGCAAAAAGTATTGCAGCTTAATTAGCTTTTATCTTTCACCGAAACTGTTTAGCAATAGTAAGTTTAAGTCAAGATGATCCGATTGGGTTTGTGTGAGTGTATTTACCTTGCTTTGATCCTTTTGGGGACCATAAGAGAGGAACTCGTCCAAGCGAAGATCGGTCACTCGTCTCCCGCATATTTCGCCCTGAAATTTGATGTTGACAGTCGTCAGCATCATCATCAAATTAAAAATATCTAAAAATGGATTTGCAGAGAATTGTGTTTATGTACTAAGAAGAATGCATGATTTGCAGAGGAATGGCGTCACTAGCTAGTCACTACAAGATTGTTTGTTCGAGTTTGATTCGTACTTACGTCTTGTTCGGTGAAGATGAAGTCGTCGTGGAAGATGACCGGGTACCCATCCTTGGTCACCTGCAAGTTCAAACACGGTAATTCGATTCATAATTTTTATGCAACAGAGCGCAATCATATAGTAATCCCTCTATCCTATAATATAAGAGATTTTGAGTTTTTACTTACAATATTTGACCACTCGTCTTATTCAAAATTTTTTAAGATTATTATTTATTTTATTTGTGACTTCCTTTATTATCTATATTTCTTTAAACATAACTTTTCGTTTTTTATATTTGCAAAAAAAATTAAATAAGACGAGTGGTCCAACGCCGCATATAAAAACTCAAAATCTGTTATACTGTGGGACGGAGAGAAGGGAGTAGCATATAAGTAACGATTTCAGAAAAAAAAAGAAGGTTAATTTACCATCTGGTTTAAGTTCAGTTGAACAATGGTCGATGCCCCTGTCTTCAAAAGTAACCAAAAAAAAAAAAAAGAGGCCAACAAGAAGAACGCTCTACACCCTCCTGGATCATGGACCGGCAGGAGTCTCGGATTGGCTGTATGTGACTAGTCAACTGGTCAGCGACCTTACGTGTCAGTTGCTTGGACTACCACGTGCTACCATGGGTCCACGTGGCAACAGAAACGCATGTCGCTCGTTGAGATGCAGGTGGGCCCCCGTTCGTGTTGTAACTGACTTATATAAATTTATGAGTAGTTTTTTTTTCACTCCTCTCTTTTATTTTCTTCATTCACGTGTAATTATAGTATGATTTATTCGCTACTACTGGGATTAATCGAGGAGGTTAACGAATTAATTAATAAATGAGATTGATTTAATTGACCTGGACGTCGAACTCGACGTAGGAGACGCCGGCGACGCGGGCGGCGGCGTGGAAGGAGCGGAGCGAGTTTTCCTTCACCTCCCTCAGCCGCGGGTCCGCCGACCCCAGCGCGTTCATCCCCTTCCCCCGGTGCCCGATCACCACCATCGCCGCCGCCGCCGCCGCCGCCACCATCGCCGGCGCCCCCTCCCTACCCACCATCGCCGCCGCCTCCGCTCCTGCGTAGAAACGTACGATCGATCAGCCAACTCCGCAACTCGGCAACAACGATGAAGCTAGCATTCTCGATCGAACAGTACACATCGATCGTACCGGCGATGCAGGCGGAGGCGGCGAGGCTGAGCTGCGCGGCGGCGGAGGCGGCCTTGGGCTGCGCCATGCTTCGGTGAGCGAGAGAACTCGGGCGTTTTGGTTGGGATCGGGTGAATTATAAGCTGTGGAGGGAGGAGGCCGCGCGCGGCGAAGCGGGGAAGCGAGTATTTATATATAGTGCGGCAGCCTAGGTAGGCAAAGTAGGACATGGAAGAAGGGGAATATTCGACGACGAGATGCGATTCCACGACGTGGAGGAAGCTCGCGGTGATATTGTTTCGTTCGAGAAGGGTGCAGAATCTGATCCGGTTCGGCTGACGGCGACGTCGTCGTTCCGGCACTCTGAATTCAGACCACCTGTCGATAGATGCGGGAGATACCTGTTCGGCTGTTCAGCGGCTTGGCCGTGCCTAATTCGATCGAGCAGGCACGCCACACGTTCCCTCAGCCCAACAAGATTCATTCGCTCCCGCGCGGTGTGAAAAAAAAAATACTCCCTCCATTATAACGCCGTTGACTTTTCGACCAACGTTTAACTGTTCGTTTTATTTAAAATTTTTATACAAATATGAAAATATTTTATGTCATGCTCAAAGAATATTTGATGACGAATCAAGTCATAATAAAATAAATGATAATTACATATTTTTTTTAATAAGACGAATGGTCAAACGTTGGGCAAAAAGTCAACGGCGTCATACATTAAAATATGGAGGTAGTATATATTATAAAATAATATGTTCACTATAGGTCCCCTCAATTTCGTTCCTAATCCAAAATACCATGAGAACAACGTATCCCATAACTTTTAAAACTACTACAAATAAAGTCTCAAAACGGTTTAAAAGGTGGTTTCAACTGACAAGATGCCTACATGGATAGATGGTTCTCGTCCCATGTGACTTTTACGTGACATTATAATCAAGAGTAAATAAAAATAAAAAATATGGGCTCATATGTCAGTAAAGAGAAACATAAAAAAATAAAGTGGGACTCACTCCCTCCACCTCACCCCCTCTCTCCTCTCTATCATCTCCTTCCAGTCGCTCCCAAATTACTCATGGTGATACTTTTGAAAATGGCCGTAACAGCCGACCGAGACGGTAAATTCTTCCCATGGAGGCCCGCCTCGTGATGATGGAGCTAGCGAACATGATCTCCGTTCCCATGGCGCTCACCGCCATCATACGTCTCGGTGTCCCCACCAAGCTTTGGTCGGAGGCGCCAACGCGGGCCACCTGGACCCCTCCATCATCAAGCGACTCCTCAACTTGCTTCCCTCCCGCGGTGTCTTCTCCAAGCACAGAGGCTCTCCGCGCCGCTTCACACTCACCACCGTCAGCCTCACCGTCGTCCCCGCTGACCCCTTTGGCACGTGCTACACCAATTATGTGCTGCAGCACCACCAAGATGCGCTTGGCCGCTCCTCTATGAGACCGTCCTTGACCCATATGGATTTGGGGATTTACGCCGGACCTGCTCCCCTAGCTTGCTATTGTTTTGGGGATCTAGCAAGGAGAAGAGACGAGATTTGACTCTGAGAAGATGCGGCGACGCATGCAGAACATGAGACGAATGTAAGGGAGAGCACGCTACGGTCGATGAACGGAGTTGACCAACGCCTCTCTCTTTCCCCTTGGCGCTCGTTGGCCTTCCAGCCCATCGCACCTCTCCTTGCCACCCACCACCCACCTCTCAGCCTCCATCGCTCGTCGCTAGCTCCCGGCCTAAAGAGATATTGGGAAGAGAGAGGAGAGGGGGAGAGAGAGAAAGAAGATATTTTTTAAAATTTAACCGAACTGACATGTGGGTCCCACTTTTTTGACTTTAAGTACCACATCAATGCCACGTAGGCGTCACGTCAGCCAAAACCGTAGTCCAAACCGCCTTAAGATTTTATTTGTACTAGTTTTGGGAGTTGAGATACGCCTCCTATCTGTTATTGCGGTTTAGGAACGGTGAATTTCAGACTCGGTGACAAATTTGAGGGAACTAGAGCGAACTTATTTCCAAAAAGAAAATCACCCGCGCGGAACCTTCGATCGATCACGACGCGGCCCATTTTCCCTTTCCGGCCTTCCGGGCCCGATGACGCAACCAAACTACCTTACCTGAGCCGGACTCCGACTCGGACTCGCGAGCCTCAACGACGTTATTACTACCTGCGCGCCCTCTTAATTCTCGTGTCGTCTCGTCGTCGTCGGTCGGTAATTCCAGTGTTCCAGACGATCGCACAAATAATCCGTCCATCTCCGACGAGCACCGCAACGACAGGCCATGGCCGACGACGTCCCACCGGCGGCGACAACGATCACGGAGGCTGCTCATCGGGACGGCACGCCGAGGCGGCGGCGGCCACCACAGCAGCAACCGGAGCACCACCACGACGACGACGGCGACCTGATGACGGGGGCGTTCCGGTTGCTCAGATACCTCGGCTTCGGCTTCCTCTTCGCCGCCGCCGCCGCCGCCGCTGCCGACGGGGACACCAACGAGCGCGGCCGCCGGACCTACTGCCGCGCCCAGGGCTTCTGAAATGGTTGATGACGACGACCACAATGGCCAAACTCACCGACATTTGTACTAGCTCTATCAGTTGTTAGTTGTACAACATCTTCTTTCCTTTCTTTTTGTCTGACATCAGAGCAAATAACTGAGGTCCGACAAATTTGTTCCTCGTTGATGCAAAATTTTCCGAGAATTTACAGGCACCATGACATCCACAGTACAAAGCACCCAAATTCTTCTCCCCTCCCACTCTCTCGCCTTTTCAGTTCTTGTTGTTTCACCACTACAAATGTACATTCTAACACCAAACAGTAAAAAAAAAAAAGAAAGGAAAAATCACCACCCAATTCGTTTTCAGCTGACCCCTGCCAACTGAAAGCAAAAAAACACCCAGTCTAGTAAGATCACAAGATGAGCTCAAGCAGCAACGCATGCCCATTGCCCAGAGACCTTCACCAATGGCGGGGGTAGCCAGCTTAACCGGTTTCGGTAGGCGAATCCAGGCTCACCTGGGCATTGCTGGAGGTGGTGGCGGCGGCGCGCCTCTTCTCCCGCCAGTTCTCCCCCCACATCTTCGCCTCCGCCACCATCCTCTCCCTGTCGTTGAGGATCCCCGGGAGCTGCTGCTCCCGGGGGGAGTCCTTGCTCGACGGCGACTTGTGGCCGGAGCTGCCCGCCTCGTCGTTCCTGGACAGCGCCCTCCCGGCCTCGCCACCGCCGGCCTTCTTTGAGGACGGCGTCGTGTTGGGATCGTACTTCTGGGACGCCAGGTAGGAGAGCGCGGTCACAACATCGGCGATGAGAGGTCGGGACGCGGCCTCCGACTGGATGCACATTGATGCCACCGCGAGCGCTTGGTAGAGCCCGCGCATCGGATATCGTCCCTCCAGCCCCGGGTCAGCCATCTTTGGGAGCTTCCGCCTGTCGTTGAAAAGAGGTCGCGCCTGCAAATTAACCGAGTATAATCACTGATGACTACATTCAATCCATTCAATTCCAAAAAAAAAATAGAACAGCAGCAACCATTGCACAGAAAATACCAAATGATCTTTATCATCGAATACACAAGTATATGCAAGCAATATGGACATATGCAAATGCGTAAAAGCAGTAATGCACTACAAGGAACTAGCAGATCAAAAAAAAAAAAAAATCATATCCTGGGTTTGGCATGACTTCTATTGACATCAGCTCCAACATTTCAATATACAATTGGGAAGATATATTGTAGGGACGTGCTTGCTTCAATCACATTGTCTACCAAAACAGAGACATCAAGTAGCTATTTCTAGATACACACCCTACATTTAGTTCTGACAATGATTAGAACATCCACTTTCCCAATAAATCTTTTGAAGAAAGTGATGGCTGATGTCAACACAGTGTAAATGCCAGAAGTTAAGATAATCAGATGCTAATATAGAAAGTAGAAAAACACAATAGCTTACCCATGAGACAAGGTTTTGTTCTACATGTGGTCTGGTACTGTCAATGGCCTTCCGGCCAGTAATCAACTCAAGCAGGACTACTCCGAAGCTATAAACATCCGATTTAACTGTAAGCTGTCCCGTCATAGCATATTCCGGAGCACAATATCCATATGTTCCCATCACACGTGTAGAGACGTGAGACTTGTCACCAACGGGACCCAATTTAGCAAGACCAAAGTCTGAAAGCTTTGGATGGAAATCCTCGCCCAATAGAATATTTGATGACTTGAAGTCCCTATATATAACTGGTGGTTGAGCCTTGTCATGAAGGTACTCCAGACCTTTAGCCGCACCTGCTGCGATTTTCATCCTAGTGTTCCAATCCAAGGGAACCTTATCAGGAGGGAGATCTGCATCAGGTATTTTCCACAAGTGAAAATTAATTCAGTAGGTTAAAAAAATATTTTCACTGCTCAAGGTATTACTACACATGCACAATCACTTGGAATAAGGTCTGAAAGGTATCATACAAACACATATTTTGCAGAATGTTTGAAAACCTACTGAACTCTACTTGCAACCAGGGGCGTGCCTAGGATTGGAGGCCCATTATGACTGGGATTTTTTTCCACTATGTAATGTCCATGCAAGGCCCAACTTACAATAGACTGGCCCAGGCCTTGGGCCAATCCTGGGTCCGCGCCTACTTGCAACACTTGTTAAAAAATTCTGGTCCCTTTTATTAACACTGACTCAACACATGGATCACAGATTCACAGGGGTACTATTCCAAAAGAAAATATACGCAGCATACTGTTACATAGCTAGACCTGTAGAAATGTTATAGTTCAACAATGTACTTTATGGGCACAATATTGCCCAAAGCGTACCAGGGTTACTATTTTGTCTGTTCATTTGCCAAGCGTGCCGACCCACGGGTACCCATTGACCCATGTTACTTTAGTTCGGTTTATAATTTCATACCAATATGGACTAATATGTGGGAAACATGGACTTTATTAGTTGAATGTGTTGGTCCATAAGTGAGCAGACTTGTACACCTAATAATTGCTCCAATTCCATTTCAAGCTACTATCTTGGCGGGAAAGCTAACAGCCATCAGTTAGGTAACATAGTTAACCTGAAGAAAATTAAAATTTGAAGGTTAAATTCTTTACTGCCTCTGAAAAAGACATGCATGTTATAAAAGGCAAATGGGTGGTTTGGACTTTTTGGATACATCACCAATACTAAAGTTAGCCAGTTTTGATGCCCAAGGGACCTGGCGTTCCACTTTGCAAATACAACATGACGCGATGTTTCAAATATTCCAAAATAAATCACATAATAGCAGACAAAGTTTCAAAAGCTGCAAAAATTCAATTTCAAATTGCCCTATATGTCAAGATACAAAACAGACAAACGCTCAGCACAGTAGGGTTCATCATGCAATAACAGTATTGTTTGTCCCTTTCTTTTAATATCTTAGCATCTAAAATGAACTTGAAATTAAAGAAGTGTAGGTTTACACACTTTATGTCTGCATTTATGATTTATTTTGAAATTACACTGCATCATGTTGGACTAGTCGGATTTCGTTAAAGGGGGGCAATGGGTCCTCTGGGCACCAGCAACTTTTGCTGCTAAAAATGCATACATACGAATGGCATCCAACTTTGAATAGTCAAAACAGAAAAAAAGATAAAGTTTCCTGATTTGCTCTACTGGAGAATTACCAAGAAAAGAACATTATGCTGTGAAACATGTCTCAAAAAGTTGATTTTACGGTACACTGTCTGGAGAATAAATGTACAAATATGAACAGTTCACCCTACTATAATTAGGCAGCACCAGAAAAAGAAAAAGATTGGGAACTGCAGTTAGGTAAAATGCTCTAGTATGAGGGGTAGTTATAAATCCTATGGACCCCCAAAAGGGGCACACTCTATCATGGAGAAAAACCTACTGGACACTGCACATTATGCACAATCGCATGGACAAAAGGACTTTGGAGCTGGGAGAGAAAATGTCTCACAACCATAGGAAGAACTATGCACATGGACAAAATGAAATAACAGACAGATGCGGGACAGACAGCATGGCAGATTGACAACCTGCTCCAATAAACATGTGAGAAACAACAGGTAGCACAGATTTGTGCAGTACTTGTACAGAGGCATTACTATGCACCAGAGCAACATAAATAAACAAAGAACAGTCTTACCATGCAAATGATCTTCCAATGATCCGAGGGGCATGTACTCGTACACAAGAAGGCGTTGATCTCCATCGGCGCAATAACCAACCAAATTAACAAGGTTTTGATGATGCAGCAAACTAAGCATGAGAACCTCCACTAGAAATTCTTTGTTTCCTTGAGTACCATCCCTATTGAGCTGTTTTATAGCAACAATCTGCAGAAGGGATGCATCAAAGTTTTCAGCTAAGTGCTGCACCTAATCTCATAATTTTGTGAATTCTGATTTATAATATTTAATATTAAATTAAAAAAGGGCATGCATCAGCTGTTTCATGTGATCCATCTTGTTCAATTCAATTTCAATGAACAGAAGGGCCTATGAACAGTTTAAACACTATTCACAATTGAGGCCAACATAAATTGGATCTGCTAGTATGATTGAACGGCATGGACTTTTTTTTCCCTTGTGGGGATCCCTCTCACTCAAGTGCAAACACTGATTTTCTTGAATGTCCTAGACAAATCAATGACGTGTTTCGGTACAACCAAGCAAATTCAGTACCACTACCTCTACAGCAATTTAGCAAGAAAGCGTCAGAGCCAACAAAAATAAATAAATAAAAAAAGATGAGTTTTTACCTGGCCAGTGCCGTCCAACCGGCCCTTGTAAACGCGCCCAAACCCTCCTTCCCCAATGAAGCACTCCTCCCTGAAGTTCCTCGTCGCCGCGGCGAGCTGGCGGAAGGTGAACGTCTGCGCGGAGATGACATTGCCATTGGCATCCTTGAGAGCCGAGAGCTCCTTCTTCACGGTGGCATTGCCTCTCCCCCTAGCCCCTGCACATAATCCCACACAAATCATGGCTTTTTAAAAGCGACTAATAATAGACTTAAACATTGAAACAAGAATTGCGCGTACATATATATACAATCCAATCCAATGAGCTATACTAAAACTAAAAAGGTTGCAGAGTTCGTCCGAAGATTCGTGTTTGTTGTTTCTCCCCTCGCTATTTCTCGGAGATCTAAAGGGCTCACAAAACCAAAGCTATTTTCAATGTCGTCTTCTTTTTTTTTTCTTCTCTCTCTCAATCCCATCACGAGGATCAACCAAGTACCAACCAGTTCATCGCGAGTTCGTGACCAACCAAGAGGAGGAGAAGTAACAGAGTACTAGCAGAGCATCAAAGTATCAAGCCAAGAGCGAGCACGCGCGGATCCGATCCTACCAACCCGAATGGGGTGGGGGGGGGGGGGCGGCGGCGACCGATTCACACACGGCTCGGCCCGACGCACGCACGCACGCACGGAACGCACCATGCGGAGATCTTCTCGACGCGCGGCGCCGCCGTAGACGTCCCCTCCCACCCACCGCCGCCGACGCCGGAGGACGACGACGCCGCCGCAGCAGCAGCCGACAAAGCGCCACCCCCATTGCCTCCGCCGCGCGCTCCCCCCTTCCCGTAGTACAGCTCCTCCTCCTCCTCCTCCCCCATCCTCGAATCGAAGCACGGGAAGCAACCCATCGCCTCCACCTCCGCCTCCGCCTCGCCAAGAAAACAGAATCACCTCCGGCTCCGCCCCGCGGCGCCGAGACGAACCCGCATTTCCCCTCCACCTCTCCTCCGCGCGCGTTCGCCGGCTAGCTGCCTTCCCCACCAGCGGCGGCGGCGCGGATCGAGGTGGTGGTGGTGGTGGACGCCGCCTGCGGGGGCGCCGTGGTCTTGGGGGGGAGCTCGTGGTCGCCTCAACGAGGGAGGCTTTGCTTCTCGGGGGAGTCGGGGTTGGTAAGAAGAAGAGGAGGGAGGGCAAGTACTACTACTACCACTGCTAGAGAGGGTAGGACTTCGTTGTCATTTCAAAGGAGGGGGATTATATTTTTTTATATAATTATTAATAATTAATGTCGTGTGATTCTAATATTTTATATCCCTCCATTTCAGGTTATAAGATGTTTTGACTTTGATCGAAGTCAAACTGCTTTAAGTTTAATTAAGTTTGTAGAAAAAAGTAGTAGCATTTTTGACCCAAGACAAATTTATTATGAAAATATATTCATTTTTTGATTTGATGAAACTAATTTAGTATTATAAGTATTACTATTTGTCTATAAAACTTAGTTAAACTTAAAACTATTTGGCTTTGACCAAAGTCAAAACGTCTTATAACCTGAAACAGAGGAAGTAGATGACGCTGTTGATTTCTGATATAAGTTTGACAATTAGTTTTGTTAAATGAAAATTACGTAATCATCGTTTATTTTTGTTGCGAGTTGTTTAACGTTAGAAGTATTTTAAGTATGATTTATATCTTATGTGTTTACACAAAAAATTTGAAAAAAGATGAATGGTCGGATGTGTGTCTAAAGATTAACAACGTTATCTACTAGAGAACAGAAGTAGTATAACATTTAAGGTTTATTTGGATCACAGGATTGTAAAAACACGGGAATAGAAAAATCATAGAAATATGATAGGAATATATGTGTAAAATAGAGGACTAAAAACACAGAAATTATGTAGCTAGGATTGGTAAACACGTGTTTGGATAAACAAAGGAAAAACGTGGGAAATAGAAAAATGAAGTAGGAGTGGATGAGAATTTTCCTTTGTTTCCCTATTAATTCCATCGAAAAGTAATTTTTGCTCAGATTTTCCTTTGGGTTGATTCAACCGAACAACATGAAAGAAAATATTTCATATCTACAGTATTCTTTTGAAAATCCTCTAAAAATCCCTATATTCGAAGAGACCGATCTAGTTAGTGAAAAGAAAACGGGGGAAGAAATCTGAATCAGATAATTTGTAGTTATGAGAAAGATACGGAAATATATATTTTTAATATCAGGAGGAGGAGGATATTTTTTTTATAGGGGTAAGTTATGGTTGGGTAAGGTTGTACGTGCTCGTAGGTGAAGAAAACCGTGGGTGTGAGGGTGGTAAAGAAAGCGCGCAGAAAGAGATGTGGGTAGTAGTATTCACATGTTGTGGTAGGTGATTAGAAGCGTTAATTGTAATTAATTAGAATGAGTAAAGTCGGAATAACCTCTCAAACGATATTAGAAAAAGGCTAATAAGTAGAACCATCGTGATATCATCAGTAACCTGTAGGTAATAACATTCACATATGATAGTTAGCTATATATAATTATAAATATTATTGAGTTGTGATTTAAATTTATTTGCACTTAATAAAGGTCAGCTTCTGTCAGAGTGAAGCGGAGGCCCGTCGCCGGAGGCTTGGGCCGTCATCTCTTTTTGGGTTCCGGTGTTCCACCATATATATACCTCTCGTAAGCCGCCGTGCGGCGTTGTAACCTCACCTGATATAGTGAAGGTATTTTGCTGGCTAGCGTTTGTGGTTTTTTCTCTCTTGCTTTGGGAGGATTTTTCATATTAAATCTCGTGTCTTCTGTGATTGATATATTGTTTTTTATCGTTTGTTTGCCTATCGTTTTCTTTTTCTAACAAATATTAGTACACTAATGATATTTTGGCTCACCTTGTTCTCTTGCTAACCATTTTTAGTATGTTTGTCTCAGAAATACGATCGGCATTATGTTTTCTTTAAGTGTTTCATCATGTTTGCAGTTTATATATTGGATTTGTTTCTTATTTTATAAAGAAAACGTTTCAATGCTTCAATAATTTTTCTTTCACTTCGTTTTAGTCAATGTGTCATCTTTCATCGATTGAAACAGTTTGACCACCTAATTTAATTAGATCAGACGCCGAACTATATCTTGTTCTTATTATGTGGTTCTGGCTGTTTTTACCTAAAATTAACAGCAAACATCTTTTTGTCATTGATTTATATGTACATACATGTGCCGAAGTGCAGAGTGCATCAGCATGTGTGAATTACTTCCAACTGAAGAAAGAACTTAGTTACCTGTCATGACTTGAGCATGGAGGCATCGTCACTCATAAGGCCTCTCACAGTGCGTCTAGCTGGACCGCGTCTTAGTTGTGCCACGTTGGTTTTTTGCCGCCGTGTCGCTCGGACTCGCGCCTCAACTAGGGCGCTCGTGACCAAACTAGGGGGCGCAATACCTTGCTTGGAAAAGGGGGGGGCGCGGAGGAATCGACGCGAGGCGCGCGCGCTGTGGGAGTTGTTCCCTCGCTCCCCGTTCTCTCGCGCGGGATTCCCCTCGCGAAATCCCCTATTCGCCCTAGAAAAATCGGCAAGAAGTCGCGCCCAAATCCCCTCCTCCCGCCACCGATTTCGCTGCTCCCGTGCCCGATGTTGCAGGAGGAATCACACAAGAGGACCACGCCGACGAGGACTACTCAAGAACACGAGAGGAATCACACAAGAACACGAGTGGAATCGTACAAGAGGAATCACACAAGAACACGAGAGGAATCACAGTACAAGAACACGAGTGGAATCACACAAGAACACGAGAGAAATCACACAAGAACACAAGAGGAATCACACAAGAACACAAAGAGGAATCATACAAGAGGACCTCGCCGACGAGGACCACGCCGTCGGCCGCCAGAACGCCCAGGGAACCCCGCCACCTCCAAGCCCGGGCTCCATCGGCGTGTCGTAGCCCGAGCTTAGTGGCATCGGAGTCATCTCCCCGTCGCCCTCAGGCTCGCTGCCGGCCGCTTCGTCCTCGCCGCCGTCTGTTCCTGCCACCCTCGCCGCCCCGCAGTCGGGAAAGGCAGATCTGGTGGCCACCCGCCGGATCTACTCCCCCACCACCACCTCCTCCTCCTCGCCGCCGCCGCGTGAAGGAAGGAGGCGAGCTCACGGTCGACAGGGACAAGCCGACGCGGTCGACGGGGAGGAGGCCGCGCCGCCGCGGCGTGGGAGGCGAGGAGGCGTGGCAGCGCTGGAGGTGGAGGTGGAGAAGCCGTCCGCTCCCACCGCCGGCCGCCCGCTGGCGCCGCATTATCCACTCCAGCTGCCCCCGCCACTCCCGAGTCCGCGCCGGAGGAGAAGCGAGCGGCGCGGGCGGCGCGGTCAACGGCGAGGCGCACGGCGGCGGCATCCCCGGCGTCCGCCGCGAGGGAGGAGAGGGAGGAGAGCACGAGGAGTCGACGACGGAGGAGAGGGAGGAGAAGCCGAGAAGGCGAAGGGGTAGATGAGGAAATAATTTCGTTGCGCTCCCCCCGTGTCCTCGTGGTAGGGTCACGCCCACTGTGGGCTTGATACCTTTACCAGTACTTTCATCCAATTAAGCCACGCATATATGGGTGCTTGCACTGTGGGGTGGGTGTCTTTGGGCCAATTTTTTGGGCTAGGGGTACGGGCCCCATAGCTTGCACTGTGAGAGGCCTAATAAGGAGTACTAGATCTTATAGGAAAAAGAGAGACATAAAAAATTATACATGTGCCATAGCTTTCCTTCTTTTCTCTAGTGACGGGATTGTTAATTACCTTCTCTCTGATCTTGTGCGCAAGAAAAAAAAATCACAATACAATGATCTTTTAGTACTCTCGGTAACAATTAGTTCTTCTTTTGCGAGAAAAAAAATGTGTGTAACAATTACGCCAGTTATAACATTTAGTCAAAGTCATATAACAGTCCTAGTCAAACTCTAGGATAATAAGAAAGAAAGAGAAAAAAAAAAGGAACAACATAAGAGGTATCGAACTTAATTTATTTCTGAACTTCCAGGTTACACAAGCCGACAAGCAGGCCAGGCCTTTCTGGGCCATATATTGGTAGCAGGCCAGGCCTGGTTGACTAGGGCAGGTCTATCCAGCGTGGGCCTATGTCGTGTATATATCAGGGAATAATAAGTCGACTTTGACTCCCTCAAATATAGCTCCAATTTAATTCGTATCCTCCAACCACAATACCATATATCTTAACCCTCCAACTATTGAAACCAGTGTAATTTGACTCCCTCAGCTGTTTTGAGAGCGGTTTTTACTGACGTAGCACATTGATATGGTCAAACCAGCTGAGTCAGCATGTGGGTCCCACGTGTCAGTGTTATCTCCTCTTTATGCTCTCCTCCTTACCTCCTTTTCCCACACGACGCCCCTGGTTCAGCGGCACCATCGACACCCTCCGCTGCTTGCTCGCCTCCACGAGTTTTCCATCAATTCTGTGAACGAGATCCGGCGCCAGACTGCCGGTGAGCGGACGACTCAGTAGCTAGTAGGGTGGTGAGCAGCGATGGGCAAACTAAGGGGATTGCGGCGAGATGGGGGCGAAGGGGATTTCGGTGGCGAGCAAAGATGGTTGAGGGAGCGAAGGGGTCGGTGGTGGTGTGCTTCGCGGTGGCAGCGGCGGCGCCGGACTTCGTGGTAGGGAATGTTGCGATCCCGTGGGTGATTGGGTCCTTCTTCCTCTTCTCCGACCACTTCATTGTGTGGTCGGCGATGTGGGCACACCATCTCCTCAACCTTCCGCCGCCCTGCCAGTAGGGTGAGTGGATTTAATTTGCTCCGGCTCAGGGGCTTTGACGAGCTCCCTTCCCTCAAGGCCGAGCCGCCGCCGCTCCACCTCAAGTTGTGCCATCAGTGCGCCTCGAGGGACAATGAGCCGTAGATCAGTGTCGACCGCTGCTCGGTCTCGAGGGCACGCCTTCGCTGCACCTCGAGGCCACCGCTCCGTCTTGGGTGGAGCCCCGTCGCGGATCCCTCTCCTCGACCATCACCGCCGCTTGGACTCCTTAGTGGGAGACGGCTCCTCCTCGGGTCATGCCGGCAACCTAGCTCCGTGCCTGCCAAAGCCGTCGACCGCCCTTGCCCCGCTCTAGCTTGTTGGCGTCATTGTCATTCTGGCCACACACACACACACACAGAGAGAGAGAGAGAGAGACCAGAAACGAGGAGTACAGAGGAAACGGTCCTACATGTTATTTTTATTATTGTAATGACATGTCACACTCAGAGACAAGTCAATTCGACACGTCAGCGAAAACCACCTTCAAAACCACTGGAGGTGTCATTTTTGAGGGGTCAAAATATCTTTATTTTGGTTAAGGGATATGAATCAGATTGCACTTGTAATTGTGGGAGTCAAAGTGGACTTATTCCTATCAGGGGATCATACAAAGTTAACAAGCTAGCCCACATGTAAAGAAAAATCACATTTTTAATCTATGGGGTCATCCATGCATCAAGCAAGCAACCGATTTTTATTTTATCTATCAACAAAATTTAAGTAAATTTTGCACATTTAGAGATACTTTGATCAAACTATTACAGAACTTAAGTCGTTATATCTCAAAACTACATATCTAATACTAAATTTATCGTTGAACTGTAGATTTATGATGGGGGTATTATAAACTTTGTGATACATTTAGTGCCAAGTTTATAACTTTATGACACAACATCTTGAATATGTAGTTTTGCTATTGTTTGATCACAGTATCTATAATTTTGTGAAATTTACTCATAAAATTTTTAACCCATTAAATTAACATCGACACCGATCAGAAGTTTTTTTTTTTTGAAACATAGCATTTGGTAGATCCTACACAAACATCAAATATTCTAATATAGGAAACATATATGTACATGCACATTGTCTGGGTTAACATATGGAAATAAAAAATAAAAGGTGTTATAAAGTTTATTAAAGTGTCATTTTTAAAATATCACATGCAATTTTAACCAATTATTTGTGCCACTTTAGATGACTAATACATAAGAAAATATTATGTTGGTAAAAGACTCCCAATCATTATTTTTTTTGAAAAGTAATTTGTAAAACATGATAGCTTTGAATACATCCATATATAGAGACATGTGGGTACGTTTTCAATTGGATTTTAGCGAGGTTTTCAACCTACCGCTAGTTTTCGTCTCTTTGAATAATACAAGCATATGTGCAGGTTGCATGTGCAATGGTGTGCGCGCGCATACAGGTGTGCCTTTCGTGAATAAAAGAAGAACCTGACCTATCGAGCCTATCTAGCAATTGGCCGGCCTCTAATTCCTCCTCAGGCATAGATTGTTGGTATCCGTACCATCTTGGTCTTCAGAATAAGAGAGTTCAGTATAGCCCACTTCTAACTCCAATTCACCAATAGCCAATCTAATAGCTAATTCATACAATAGTTACTTACCATACTATTAATATATGGTCCCACCTGTCATACACAAATTGTGTCTTGGAGTCCGTGCTATAGTTGGCTACAAATCTGTAGCCCGCTGCTTTTCTCTCTCATCGTTTATGTCATTAAAATATGTTTATAGCTGACTAATAGCCTGCTATTGTACCTGCTCTTAGATGAGCCCAACTGTACACTTTAGTAAAGAAGGCAATTAACTAATTAAGTTAATAAGGGCTTAAGCTATAATTAAGCAACAAGAGCCAGCAGCTAGCAGTGAGCAGGGGGCAGGCAGACATGCAAAGGGAGGGAAGCAATATTGCAAACAGTGTAAAGTTAGTTGTCTCGAGCAAAGCACAAAATAAAGATACAGCTCTAGCTCTCATGCAAAAAAGATGCCTGCATCTGCATGCTGCTGCCTCAAAAAGGAGCTGAGCTTAGTATAGCTCTCTTTCTCTACCTTGGCCCCCGGCCGAAACTGCACTCTCCGAGCTCTCGAGCAAGCAAGGCATGCACCGACCACACCCAGCAACAAGCCCCACTTGCCCTTATAAAAAATCAGCTCAACGACACATTAGTGGTTAAGCTTCATTTCGCCTTGATTTATATATGTGCTACATGGTACATGCTACATTTGTTAAGTGGACTAGTATTAACATAATAACATATGATCAGGTGGATTTTTCACATTTTGGTCCTTTTGAAAAACTTATTTCGCAAGTAGATCCCTAGAAAAACTTATCCCAAAAATGATCCTTTTTGGGGCGCCAGAGTGACTGGCGCCGTCGTTCAACAGGACGGCGCCGCCTCTTTGGCGTCGTCCCACCGCCGACGTGGCGGGGCGATGCTGAGGTGGCTAGGGGGAGTGCGCCAGAGTGGCTGGCGCCCCTCCCCCCCCGAAATTTTTTATTTTTGTTTTATTTGTTTGATATTTTTTGCACGCTTAGGGACACACAAGAACCAACCATAGAAAAATTGAACTCAAATAGACGTAATATGTGACATGTAGAATTTTTCCTCTCCTCTCCTCTCTCCGAACTAGTGCAGAGGAGAGAGATGTGCAACTTTTTTATTTTTATTTTATTTTTTTGATATTTTTTTCACACTTAGGAACTCACAGGAACCAACCACGTAAAAAATAAACTCAAACGGACGAAATATGTGGCATGTGGAATTTTCCAAAGCTCCACCGAAAAACTTCTCTCCTCGAAAACACAATCTTGCAAGCGGAATTTGGAGGTTTTAATATCGCCGAACCCGGCAAAGCGGGGGAGAATCGGATGTAACTTTTTCTGTAGATGTCCGTGCATATATTATTTGCCTGATTCCGAGTCCGTATGAGAAAGTTACGCCTATTTTAATAGATGGCATATTTTGTCCGTTTCGGTAGAGTTTTGGAAAATTCTACATGTCACATATTTTGTCCGTTTGAGTTTATTTTTTATACGGTTGGTTCCTATGTTCTCCTAAGTGTGAAAAAAATATCAAAAAAAATGAAATAAAAATAAAAAAATTGCATCTCTATGTTCTGTTTAACTTATATATGTCATTTTATGTGGTTATATTTTGAATTAGATTAAGTAATTTCATATAGTGGTAGAGTGCATTATGTTTAACATGCTGATCAAAGGGTTTTACTAAAGGAGTTATGGTCTAATTTTAGTGAAGGTGCAAAGTAGACTAAGTGGTATGCTAGATATTTTCAGACTTTGCTAAGTGGTAGTTCGAGTTTAATTTTTTTTTGTGGTTGGTTGTATCGTGATCCTGAGTGTGAAAAAACATCCGAAAAAATAAAATAAAAATGACACCGTTGCAACTCCATACAGAGAAACATGAATGGAGGCGGCGGCGCCAGCCATGCTGGCGCCCTCCTCCCTAGGGCGGCGCCAGCATGGCTGGCGCCCTCCTCCTGCCACGTCGGTTCGCGTGCGCCACGGTGGCAGGAGGACGGCGCCAGAGAGGCTGGCGCCGTCCCGTTGGATGACGGCGCCAGCCACTCTGGCGCCCCAAAAAGGACCATTTCTGAGATAAGTTTTTTCAGGGGTCTATTTGTGAAATAAGTTTTTTAAAAGGATCAAAATGTGAAAAATCCAGATATGATCAGTCCTAGCTACCAGTACAGTTAGCAGCAGAAATTAAAATTATATAATACTAATGCAGGGAATTTAATAACTGAAATGGTTCGTCATATTTACGGTCTCTGTCAAAAGACACAGCTAATAAGTTGTAAATGTGTTAAATAAAATAAACTTAACGTTATGAGACGAATTCCCATGCATATGTCCCTTCTCTATTTGAAATATGGAATAGAAATTAATCAAATAGATTCCATAATCAATTAATGGAAGTCTATAAAAACTACATGTATATATGAAATCCAAAATGTAATAAATTAGCCAAAAATTTTACCATATATCACATGCATACATTGGCACTGAATAAGAATAACTGATCGAAGTCAGAAAAGAACATGAAATTAATAGAGAAAATCAAATCAAGCCAAGCTGATAGAATCGAAGAAAATAAATGAAAATAAGCAGTACACTAGGTGTAAGCGTGCAGGCATGCACTAATTAACTAGCTAGCTCTCTCACACGCACACTCATGGCGGAGGCGTAGTGCAGCAAAAAAAAAACACCGACCTCTCTCTCTCTCACACACACACACACACTCGCACAAACTCTCTGTGGATGTATCAACCTAGCTACCCCTACAACGACGACGGCCACCGGCGGCGATAACTCCGGCGACCGACGCGGCAGCGACGGCGGCGCTAGAGCTATACTAAAGCCAGAGCGCGCCGGCCTCCTTGAGCAGCGGCACGAGGGAGCCGTTGATGTGCGCGGCCATGACGCGGTCCATGGCGCCGACCAGCTTGCCGCCGATGAACACGACGGGCACGGCGGCAGCGGCGGCGCCGCCGGCGCCGACGAGGCGCGCCAGGGCGCGCTCCAGGTCGCGGCCGCGCGGGTCGAGGTCCAGCTCGTGCACCGCCGGGTGCACGCCCATGCCGCAGAAGAGGCGCTTCACGGCGTGGCACATGCAGCAGCTGCTCACGCTGAACACCACCACCGCGCTCTCCGACGCCAGCCTCTCCACCCGCTCCGCCGCCGTCTCCGCCGCCGCTGCCACCACCATCGCCGCCGCCGGCATGTACCACGCCTGCTCCGCCGCCGCCGCGCCGTACTGCATTGCGATGGATGCAACTGATGATCTGTGTGTGAAATTAATGCGTGATTTGTGAGAGTTTGCTTTGATTGTTTAGGGTTGGCGAGCTCTGCGGCGAGAGCAGGTGGGGGGTCTATATGGTGCAGGGGCCAAGGGTGTTTTCGTAATTTCGTGGGGGCAATTATATAGAAAAGGATTACTTTTGCTTTTATTAATTTTCTGCCGTGAACTACAGCTTGATGAGCCGCTTTGTAGGTCAAGATTGAATATTATAATCACTGTCAAAAAAAGAGTGAATATTATAATAGAACCTTGTACGTACTGTTAGCACATATATGTATATTATATATTCTGCTTGAAGTTGTTTCCCATTTTTAAAATAATGGTCCATCTGGAAGTTTCTTGTGTCAGCCATGAATCAATAATAGGGATTATCTACTTGTGTTTGATTCTTATTTTGTGATGAACAATTGGCATCTGAGATTATTGGTTTAATATTTGGAGATTATTGGTAAAGTGGTTTTAGAGATGATTGGATTTGCAGGTGATGAACAGGGACTGTTGGATGTTTGGACCAGTCAGACCGGGCAAGGGCTAGTTATCGGTCAGCCCGCGATCTAACCGGCCGACTCTGTGTCGGTTTCGGTTTCGGGTTGATTTGTTAGATATCCGTGGATAATTTATGTTTATGACTTGTAGATGGATACTATGCGTATGTAATACTGTTGTTTACTAACAATGAGTCAAGTTGGAGATAGCTTGTGCTCGGAATATGGTTTCTTGGTTAATGCATGTGTAGGTGGCCAGTGATGGATCGGGAGTCAACTTGGGAGAAGATGACGTCTGGACGATCAGGATATCATGCGGGATGCTTAGGGTAAAGATCAATGCACGTGGTTGGTGAAGATTTCATATGGCAAACGATGGAGATATTATGTGCGTATGGGATGCGGAGTCGAATTTGGAAGAAGTCCAAATTTGGTACTATTGGAGTTTGTAAAGTTAGATTCTTGTTTCCTAGGGGATTATGACTTCTTGTACAAGTTTGGTTCGTGGCTTTAGGATGCCTACCTCGGGTATAAATAGAAAGGAAGGGTGTGGCTTACCGGTATCGTTTTAGAGGAGTTGTGTTGAGAGATAAGTTAGGGTTTTGAGTTTAGTCGAGATTTTGGTGAGGAGTGTTGTTGTTGCACTTTGTTAACACATAGAGAAGTAATAAAGTTACAATCTACTTTGAAAGATCTTTGATTTTTGTTTGCTTGGGTTCGGCGATCCACCACCGGTCAGACCGACGGCATCGAACCGGTCAGACCGGCGGGGTAACGGCGGTCAGGCTGGCGGCAGCTACAGACGACAGCGGTTCATTTCGGCGGTCAAACTGGAGCGACTAGCTCGGTCAGACCGACTGCTTCCAGGCTGTTAGATCGGTGCATATACTTCGGTCAGACCACGTGTCATCGAATTGAGGGTAACTTTTAATTCCGCTAAAAGTTTTAGTTTTCGGGTACAACCATTCACCCCCTCTGGTTGGCTTAGTTTTTGTTGTTTTATACTACAGGATGGAGGAATCAGTGGCAGTTCATACGAGCAGCTTAATTAGTTACTCCCTCCGTTTCATAATGTAAGACTTTCTAGCATTGCTCACATTCATATAGATATTAATGAATCTAGACATATATAGTGTTTGGATTCATTAACATTTATATGAATATGAGCAATACTAGAAAGTTTTACATTGTGAAACGAAGGAAGTAGTATACTACTATAACTAACCATCCTTGTGGATCACTTCAAATTAGTCTGTCTGCTGCCTCCAGGCCATGAGTTAGTGTGCCCTTTGAACAAGCTAGCACATGACACAGTATACGTGCAAGCATGTGTCCAATTACTAATTAAACTTTCCCAAGTCCTCGAAAAGAATATTTCCAACTTATTCATTATTTTCTACGAAAAGCTAACATGCCCAGATATATATATACTGATATACATGGGGCTATCTCTAATATGTCTTGGGACAAATACCTGAAACAAGTGAGAGAGAGCCTATACTTTTGATGGCATTCACCATGCAAATCGCCAGTCAATTTGGAACATCTCAAGTGTTTTACACATCACGGCCGGTGATGCACTTTAATTTGTCTCCCCCTGGCCCCTGCTGGTCGATCGTGGATGCTATACCTTCTATAGCTTCTTTTGGGAACAAACAGCCCTGTTCATCTCTTCGTATATACTCCCTCCATACTCGTAAAGGAAGTTGTTTAGGACAATCTTTAAGTCAAACCTAAACTGTTGAGTTTGAAAATGTAAAAATTATATGAATAGATTTGTCTTGAAAAATACTTTTATAAAAGTATACATATATCACTTTTCAATAAATATTTTCATAGAAACAAGAAGTTAAAGTTGTGTTTTGGAGACCGTGTCGCTGTCCAAAACGACTTTCTTTACGAGTAGGGAGGGAGTATGTACTAAAGGGAAGCATATCGCTCCAATCCATGGATGTATACTATTTGATGGCTTTTCCCTCCGATCCACTACACACAAACAGCTAGCTTTTAAATTGATTTAATTGTGCGCCGTTATTGTTATTATTCAAATTAATGTCTTGAACTTATTTTTTTATGTTTACTAGTTAATTTTAAAAATTAATCGCAAAGTTCCTTCACGTCAATTTTGTCATAATTGCTAGCTCTGCTTTGGAAGATATATAGGGTTTTCTGTTCTGTTCTTTGTAGAAATTAATTGAAGCACACCAATTCTGTGAATCTATAAAAAGTAAATTGCATTAGTGGTATACGAAGTAGGCGTAATTTAGTATTGGAACATGTAAACATTCATTTTTGGTGTACAAACTTATGTAGTACGTGCGAATACAAACTTGATAGGTAGGTGTAATTTAGTACCCAAATATGCAAGACATTCATTTTTGGTGTATAAACTTGCATAGTATGTGTGAACCAAGAACAAGATAGTACATCATGGTTGATCTTGCTGCCTTAGGCATTACATGTTCATTCAGACATAAGGTATAAAAGGATGTTGTTTAAAAATAAAAAAAAACCAGGGATATAAAATAAAGAAAAGACAAAATATAAACCAAGTATCTAGAGTCATTTTCAAATATATAATATGCCTAATACCTTTTTTTAAGATAATGGAATATAACATTCCGGCATTTACTCAAGAGAGCTACAGCCAATTATTACAGAATAGCACTCAAACAAGAGTGTAGTTCAACAAATTATTGAAAACACCCAATGAACAAAATAAGTAACTAAACTAAAATAAGAAGAACACATTATTGAAATCTATTTGTGAATCTCCAACTATAATTGACAAAAGTTGCATAACTATTGTCTCAAGCTTGCAACATGCAATTTTTATAAACTCTTTGTCTTCTTCAAACTTTTGTAGTTGCGCCCAGTATCGGAGCCAATATGTTGCCCTGAAAATTACCTGCATATATGAGATGGATGGTGATTTATCAAAAACCAAATCATTCCTTCCTAATACCCTTGTCACATGTTATACTTATCAGTGTCTGCTTCACCATTAGCGATGATGGTGCAACTACTACAGAAATGGTTTTGTTAGGTGGCTACGACATGCTTAATTTCAAAAAGCGACTAAGCTAACCACCTAGAGGTAAGTATACCTACGAAAATGGTCATCATTTTCGAAGCCAGTTGCTCAGCCATAAGGGCGATAGCAGTGCAAGCCACCGGCTGGCCGGACCTGGAGTGCCATGTAGCCCTAGGTACTCTATTGGATACCATGTCCGCAATGCATACATGTGGCCTTAGACCGGTCTAAAAATTGTTGAGAACAGCGGAAACCACCCAGCCCACAACGTTGGCCACCCAACCGTTCTCCCTGGTGAGAGCCCCCTTGAGCGAAGCAAAAACCGAGTGGCTGCGTTTGGCTCCGCGAACTTTATTTGGCGACGCATATTGCTCTAGTGTCGTCGAATATTCGGTTTGAGGGTGTGGGGCTGAACGCCACATCATTGCATTGTGAAGGCCCTAATTAAGGGAAACCAGATTTGTGATTGTCTATGAAAAGAGTTTCCATAGCATATTCTATTTCGGCCTTCACACACACGCATTTTGCGTCGGGTATTGGATTTGCATCCATCGTGTAAGTTCATGTGCCATTGGCATAGTTTACTCTTAATTAAACTGTTTTTGTTGGATTAATATTATAGCTAGATTTGACGAACTGATCGATCAATGTCAATTGCCACATAGCTAGCCAACCAGAAATTGACAATGGTGAGTTGAATTCCATATTTGAATTAATTTTGAAGGTGAGATCTGATTTCTAACAGAGAACCGAGCCCATGCCATCATCAATCTTGGACGCAGTGCTCTCTCTCTATATATAGCTGATCTATCTCTCGGATTAATTATCTGGACCGTACGTGTAGATCAATTGCCTAATTGGATACTATATATGGACGCTAGCTAGTTGATGCGCCTGATGCTATTACTAATTAATTGCTTATGCCAAGCTAGCATCCGTGTGTAGTACAAGTGTACTGGTTCACCATCTTTATATATAGGAGTAGTAATAATCCAACTGTCTATATAGAACAACTGTTACGAGTATAGTATGCATGGCCATGCATGCAATTGCAGGGCCGGGTCCAAATTATTTCTGCGACACAGGTAGGTAATGTTGTGTGGGTGCGATCATGATGATCAATGGCCTTGTCGGGAAAATTTCAAAAGTAATGTCTTAGGTGGTGTTTGGTTGGAGGAACTAAAGTGGGGCTAAACTTTTAGTCCCTCTCACAAAAACATAAGTCCCTACCATAGAGACTTATACTTTTGTGAGAGGGACTAAATTTAGTCCCTAGTTCCCAAACACCCCCTTATACTACTAAAATATGGACTTTGGTCGTTGTGGATCCGTACAATCACGATATTATTTTTATATAATATAGAATAGGATGTGGTATATATAATTTAATTCGATAAATCTTTATAAATGTTTGTATAAACGTCTGTCCAGATTCGTTGTATTAGATTATGTCCTATTTAAGTTCTAGGTTGGTTTTTTTTAAAGGACAGAGAGAGTAGTTTATATAAACA